GAGAGAACATTCTTTGTAGGAAATATGACCGGGCGAGAACGAATATATCATTCGATAGAAAATTAAATTCTGCATATAGTAAACTAGTTCAAAAAAGCCGGCTATACTTTCGATAGAGAAAATGTTTTTTTGTTTTGATCGACGAATAATGTACTGTAAGATATCATTGAGAAAAGAATCTTCTTCTGAGGAAGTTTCGTGGGTAGAGACTGAAGATGCTATTCGTAGGGTACCAAATTCTGTATCTTATGACTTAGTTTAATAGAGCAGAAGATGCTCGGTTTCTTCGGAAGATGTGGTGGAATGTAGTTTGAATTTATATGGTAACTAAGGTTGTTGGGTTGGTATTCTGTGGATTGTTGGTGGTATTTTGTGCTTGTCGTCTGATTGGTTGTTAATTCTGAGAATGTGATTGGTTTTCGTGCTAACTTCACATCGATTATTTAAATACTGTTTATATACCCAACTTTTTACGGCGATCTCTTATTGTCTAATACAAATGAAGCGTAACAAAAATAGAAAGGCCACTTTATTGCTGGTTTGTATGATTTTTCATGGCTAGGGTTTATTTTTTTATCCCTCCAAATCATCGATTTACTTCTGCCTCTCTCTCTGCCTTCTTTGCCTAACATAAATAATATCTTGTCATGATTAGTTTCTAACTGGTTGCTTTGATGTTGAAACCTACTGACAAAAAAGTATGACATGAATGGAGTGATTAGTCCTTCTTACAAGCCTTTACTCGCATTATATATGTTTATTATTTAGAATAAAAAATAAAGAAGAGAAAAAAACGTGATCAACAACGCTTTCATCTTGTGAAAATTATATTTTTTTTTCTAACTTATAAAACTATTTAACAAATAAATATAAAATAAAAATGAAGAACTAGAGTATACATATATCGAAATAGAATCGAATGAAATAAAGATAATAAGTATAGTTTAATAAAAATTTTGATTTAAGTTTTATTTCAATAACTATTTTTGTAATAATATTATTTTATATGAATTAGATAATTTTCACGAAGTTTATTCTTCATATTAATTTAAATAATATTGAAAATATGAAAAATAATTCTAATGGATTAAATTATTAAAAAATAAATAAATAGTTATTTTTAAGTCGTAAATATTGAACACAGTTTACACTACTATTTCTGTTTCATATAAAATAAAAATATATATGTTTAACGATATACGTCATTACTCTTTAGATTTATCTCTAATCAAGTGTATCGGCTTTATGTTTTTTTCACCTTGCATATATATTTTTTTACCTTACATATAGAATCAAAACATGTTGTAGTTGATGATTCTATTTTACTGCAGTGCTCAATAAGTATGTAAGAGTGAGAATATTCGTATGAAAACACAGTCATGCATACATATTACGTTAACTATTTATCTGCACATTCGATCAATTAGTAGAGTCTACAAGATGGATATTATTGAAACAATAGCTTATTCACTTTTTATTTCAACATTCCTAACAATATGTTGCAATGAACGAATATATGGATATCTTTAGTTCTGATGATAAACGCTGAAACTATGTACAGAAATCTCTCGAACAATTTGTTGACAAATGTGTTGCTAGTAAATCATTTTATCCAAGTTCTGTGACATCTATAGATAAATGTGATATAAATAAACTATATGATCGTTGCATTTCTTGTGGTTTAGTTTGTTATAATGGCGAGTGGGTAGAAAAACTTGGTGCTACTGATATTTGTCAACTTAATTCTAAGCGTAGTAATGCTAGTGCTTCAACCTTCTACCCTGGTCGTACATATATTATCGTTGTTATTCGTGCCAGTGCTATTTATTATGATTGTATTAATCTTAGTGGTTGTGTTCGTATTAATGGTGTATACTAATATTCAAATATTTAATACTAAATCAATAACTAAGAATTAATATATGTTCATTATTATCTCTACTTAATATTGATGAAATAAATGATGAAAAATATTTTTTTTATGAATAAAATTCTTTATTAATACCATCAGATCTTCGGCTTAGATTTTTCACTTGTACAAAATTTTTCTTCAATGGGTTTTACTGATAGATGATGTTAAACAAGTTGATATTCAACAAAAAAAATATATTAACTCTATAATCTTCTCAAGACCATCTTGTGATGTTTCAATAAAAGAGAAGGAAAAACTACCGAGCACTAAAAGATATAATTTTATTATGATATATCATCGAAAGCAATTGCTTTTTCTATTTAGTAGCTGTGAGCAGTATCTGTATCTCGATACCTGATGAATCAACCAAATTTAATGTTTTATGTAGGATTTACTGCTACGAAGTATACCTCAATAAACAATCTTTTATTTAAAGAAAATAATGATGTTGACTATTTAGTATAGTTTCTACACCATCTAGTCAGATTTGATCCACATCACTAAAACCAGCATATTATCATTTTTCTGTTCTTCAACTTTTTCTAGTATAACGCAAATATTTTTCTTTATCTCATCTTTTAAAAGTATAGATATTGTTGAATGTAATAAATGTAAATAATTTTTTTATATTTCTTTTATAAATATACAATATATTAGTCAAATAAACACAAAAAGAAACGAAGATTTCTTATTTTACAAACGAAAAGACAAACTCCATAGATTATTATCGTTTCTCTAGAAAATCCAAAGTTGCCATTATATCACTGTTAAGTGTATGATTTAAAGAGCTTGTACTCGTGCATAATACAGATTAGAACTCGTAAGTGATGCAAGATCCGATGAAAGAGTAGGTCCATATCGATGTTGTTGATATTGTCTCGTAATTGGTATTGAATCAACACTATTCGCAATATAATCATTACTTGTTCGAGTGGTTGTCGATGGGACTGTAGGACCATTATGATGTATTAAAGGTTGTCGAGGTTTTACAGAAGATTTTAGACCATCGGTGGAATGGGAATGATGGCTATGATGATGCTTATCTTTACGACGACGATGACGACAACAAAAAAGAAAAAATAGAATAACACCAAGTACACAAAGAGGTACGATAATCACATAAAGTAAATGATTATTAAGATTTGCTGAAGATGTCACACCTAAAGCACAAAAACAAAAAGAGAATTAATCTTTTCATAACAAATGAAACATGTCAAATATTTGCAAGGATATCAAAAAACTAATGCCTTGCATATGTTTTCTCAAAACTTATTCTTTTCTTCTTTCTCAAGTCCATGTTTGACAGATAAATCTAATCTAATAAATCTATCCAAATTTGATTTCTAATTCTGCCTTACTTTTCTTACCATAATGATTATCAATAACATTAATAAAAACTTTCTTATAATTAGTAGCTTTATCATTTTGAATTAAACAAATATATTGTCCATTATCTTTATTAGTAACTTGTGAAATTATTAGTGGTCTTGATAAAATATTTTTCGAATATTGTTGTAATTGTTGTTCTTGAAATTGTTCAACATTTTCGTATTGTTCAGAACCAAATACAATAGCATCAGGTCGAAATAATTGTTGAATATTAATCTTTTTTAACCATTGAATTTTTGTTGTTGGATCATTAGTTTGAACACGACAATTTAACATTACTGTTTTATCTACATCAACACTTGTATTTTGAGGATCCTCACCATAAAATTGTAATTTTTCTAGAAAACAAAAAAGGTATTTCAAAAGAAAAAGATTTCTTCTATACGCTACCTGTGACAGCAAGAATGTATGTAGCATTGATAGCACCAAATGAATTGAATAATTCACATGTATAATTACCCGTATCTGATTGACGTAAATCTTTAATAATTAATATCTGACTTCTACAAAACATAATATGATTTAATGAAGTAAAAAGAAAAAAAAATAATTCAAATTTACTGTGTAACACCATATTCATCTTCTGATAATATTTTCCCATTTTTTTTCCATCGTATTTCAGGTAATGGTTTACCAGATGCTAAACATTTCAATTGTACAGTTGTACCTTCTGGTTGAATAACTTTAGTTGGTCCTGTTTGATCATCATCACTTCGTGAAACAAATTCAGGTGCTTCTAGAAGAAAAAGAAATTAATAAAATTCAATTAATACAAATAAATATACCTCCATGTAATGAATCTGCTTCCCATGGCATTGCATTTTGTGGTTCATTATTATCAACATTCGTTGATATTGTTCCATTCGCTATTATAGAAAAATATATTGTTTTAATCAATTCATTACAAAAGAATATATCAAGACTACTTACATTTAATATTTATTCGAAATTGTACTTGTATACTACCAAAACCATTGACTACATTACATTTATACAAACCAGCATCAGCTAAATGTGCTTGTTGTATTTTTAATAAAAATCGTTTGATAATTAAATTTGATGATGACCACATTGAATCTAAATCTTCATTATTTTTTGACCATTGAATCGATAAATCAGGACTATTCGTAACTGGACATTGTAATTCAATGGAATCATTTTCATTTATATCTAATGTATTGAAATTAGTTGTATTTGGTAAAAGAGTCGGTGGACCTAAAAAGAAAACATTTAGATTAACTTTTATGATAAAATGCAATAAAATTCAAGTTTTTGCTGATTTCTCAATTTAGAAAACATTTCTCGTAGAGCAATTAGAATAACTATGTTAATTTTGAATGAACACTTTGAACTTTTTATTAAGATACATTATAATCGATTTGTATATATTATAACAGACATTTGTTCAACTAACTTGATAATAAACAACTCAATTATCAATATTTTAAGACAAATCTAAATCGTTTTCTTTTTGTTTTATCAAAGAATACATACCACGTGCAATTATATGTTCGGCAAAAAACAATAAGACAAGAAGAATAAATTGATTCATTTGAAAATTAAGAAGAATCTAAAATATACATAATAAAAATAGTCTATTTTCAAACAAGGATCTATTGAGACAATCTTTTCGAATAATAAATACAAGTGCTCAATGAAACAATTACAATTTTTAATTAGCATATGAAATTGTAATAAAATAAGAGTAATCAATATGATGAGAAGTTCATAGAATATACTCCATCATTTAGGATTGATAACTACACACAATCTATTATCAGTTATCTATCCATGACGAAGACTACGCAATAAATAGAAAGATTGTAATCTTATGTCTGCTTATATTATCTTTCCATTCCACACCCATACAGATAAACTTCTATCTATACACAATCATCAAGTTAGAAGATATTGCATCAGAATTTCTTACTTTAATCCATTTGAACGTTTTAGTTAATGTTGTATACAAAAATAAAATATCGAATATAGTAAACTCTCATAGTCTTCAACTCATCATAGACTGGACAGCAAAAGTGTGTGTGTACAGGCGTGCACTCGTCAAAAGCATATAACCTTGAATGAATAGGCTCATTCATCATCATCTATTCGTACAATGTTCATGGTTCAACTACATGTGTGTGCATGAGAAAAAAAAGATCAAGAAACAAAAGGGCATCTGTATATTTATTTGGATGATGTCTGCCTATTCAGAATCAATGGAGGAAAAAACTTCTGATGCAATGGTCTATCTCAATTGAACAACAAATGAAAGATCAAATAATATTCGCATACGTAAACATTTTTCACTTATCATTTTTTTTTCAATTTAACAATCCTATATAAATGTCAGTAATTCACATACATATATATATATATAGCTAGTTATAGATTGCTTGTGAAACGTGAGAGAGCATAGATATCAATCACATATGTACGTAAATCAAAATCATTGATAAGAAAATTTTTTTATCATCAGCTGTTCAAATTCATCTCTTATCGTTTAACATGAATATAAAGGAAATACACTTACTTGCATATCAACTGCCTTTTCTTGTTATTAAAATAGAATAAAAAAAGAAGAAACCACTCTAATAATTGACCGCTTGTGTTAGACCACTATCGAAGTGTGAAATTGCCTTAGTCGTTTGGATATCGACCTACAATATGTTATTGATAATGATGATGATCATCATAATCATCGACCAAGTCTATGTGAATGTTTAATGATGGAAGAAGACAACGACGACAACGATCAACAAGTGGACGCGTATAGTGACGAGGATACGTAGCAGCTATAGACAGTCAAGAAGAGAAGAGGAAAAAATAGAGAACGAACATATACATATATATATATATACATATTCACACATAAATCGAAAGAAAAAGAATTGTATAGCAGCAAATCAATCAGAATGAAAAGAGAGGGAGAGAAAAAGAAGAAGAAGAAGAAAAGTGACAGACGAGTACTAATTTGCAGATAGAGAAGAGAGATCTGGCTACTATCATGGGAAGAGCCTGTTAACAAACTCGCTTATATTACTAGAAAGAAAGACAGAGAGACAGCGAGGTTTATATGGTGGCAATCATCTAATGAATATGATGATGAGATACTCCGAATAAAAATGAAAGCGTGTTAAAAATGAATTTTTAATCTCATTGTCTTTTCGGCTACAGCTTCTTTTTTACTCACGCACATGCATACATTCAATAGTTGCTTATCATCTTCATCAAACTATCAAAAAAAAATGGGTGGTCGGCAATTATTGACAACACACAACGGACGACAGGAAGCCGAAGATTATTTTATTATAATCATCATTCATTCATCCACATTCAAGTGATCAACGAATGAAATGTACAGATGCGTGACATACTAATATCTACCTGTATGTGGATAATTCGAAAGGATTTTTTATTTTATTTAGATCGATATAGATAACTTAATTGTTTTTGAATAAAATTACAAATCCCTTTTTATTATTTACGAATAATATCTAAATAATTTGCACATTATGTTCTATAATTTTATATTCAAATTGAAAGTTTTCTTCTTTCATCAACAATCTTTACTTATTGACAGTTACACTATTTATTATTTGCTATTGCCTGCTTTTTCTTCTTTAATCATTACGGTTAATCCCTTCCTACATTATTTTACAACGGTACAATGAAATTCGAGTCGCTTTGATCTGTTCAATCACATAGTGTGATCCTAATATCTTGAGTATACATTGATGCAATGTTCTCTCTCTTTTTGTTTTATTCTTTATTTCAAGTGTTACTGTTCACTAGTCATACATTATATGTTTATAGAATGCATAGAGAACAAAAAAAATGAAAAAATTCATGATTATTTTTTCAAGTGTTGTCTATATATACCGTTCATATCGTATACATATATTTATATATATAAACTGTTAGAAAAAAATATCTTTCGTATATCTATATGAGAAAGATAATTATTCTTCTTAGTTTAAGATAAACAAAATCACACCCAAGCATTAAATGAACAATGACGATAGCGATGATGAGAAACGGATGAACAGACGAGAGTTAAATTAACAAACAATATATATATGGAGATGAAGATTGGCAAGAGCAATGAAGGGCGTCATTCGATCTTTTGTTTAACATTATGCACTTTAGATATATATATCTATAGCATTGTCTTATAATAAGAATACGATCTAAAAGAAAACAAAGCTTCTATTAAGTAACATTCCTAATATATATAAGCATGATATTACAGCTGTCAATAGTATATCAATATATAAAAAGATAATCACTTCCATTCATTCATAGAATTGTTTTTTTAAGAAATAAAATTTTCTGTTTTGATGTTACGGTGTTTATAAAAATATTTATAGATTGTATTTCATGATAGACAGCCATAAAAAAAATCAATCTAATTTAAATATACAAATAATTGAATGATTAGAAAAATGGAATTAATTCGAAAAGTTTATCAAGATTGATTCGATTATATACCTCTTGTGTCTGACACTTCACAATGTCTAATCAAAATTAATATGAGCATTCATACAAAAGAATATTTGTTTAAAATATATATATCATTAATCAATTGTTCTTTTCAGATTTTCTATATAAGGAAAAATATATCTGATTTAACATTTTTTTTTTGGTTTATTTAAGAACAATAGTGATAGATTTTTATCACTGTTATACAAAACTACTAGTGAAATGAGTTACATTTACAGAAATATAAATAATGAAAGAGTGAAAATGAAATAGAATTTTACCATGCAATTTTTGCAATAAAACTACGTGGATATTTTCTTATACACAATTTTCTTAATTCATCAATAATTAACCAAAGCATACCAAATCCTAATGTTGGCATAATATATTTTACAGGTACACGACCTGTACTAAAAACTTGATTGAACCATCCAATTTGTGTTATGATTATTTGAACGCCAGCTGATATAATCATAGCACCAAAGACATACCAATTTTTACCTTTACCCCAAAATGGATTATGTTCAAATAATGATGCATATCGTGTACGTGTTGCAAAATAATTAAAAAATTGAAATAAACATACTGAACAATAATATACTGATTGTGAAACATATGTCATTATAATTAATTCTTCAGGTGTATATGGAGTTTTAGGATTGATACCAAAATTTTCAAATGTAAACATAAATGAATAGAATGGTACACCATTATCAATCCAATAATAACAAAAACAAAAGAATCCTGTAAAACATTCGAAATTACCAACAAGCATATAAGCATGAAAAAGTAGTTTGAAATTTAATAGATGATCTTTTGAACGAATCGATGGTGGTCGAGACATAATATCACGTTCTGGTTTTTCTGTTACCATAGCAAGTGACATAAATACATCTAATAAGAGAAGAATAAGATAGAATTAAATATATTTTTTCAAAACATACCATTAATCATACAAAAGACGGTCGCTAAAAAAGCAGAAAGAGCTAGAGGCATACCAAACCATAAATTAAAAAATACAGGCCAAATTTGAGACCAAGAACCTATAGACAAATAAAATGCAAAAAACAGAACATTTGACAAATATTAAATATTTTGAACTTACCACCAGGTAATAAATAAATAGCGACTTTTTTTAAATTATCACTTAATAAACGACCTGTTTCTATTGCTTGAATAATTGATGAAAAATTATTATCTAATAAAATCATATCACCTGCTTCTTTTGATACTTCAGTACCAGATTGCATAGCAACACCTAGATGAGCACATTTAAGTGCAGGTGCATCATTTGTTCCATCACCTGTTACAGCAACAATTTCAGCACGTCGTTGAAATTCCATAACAATACGTAATTTTTGTTCTGGTGATGTTCGTGCAAAAACAAGTTCTTGATGTGATAATACCCAATCCCACATACTATCATCCATATAATTAATATCAGCACCAGTTACAACAATAGCATATGGAATATATTCCATTTTTTGTGTTGGTTCAATGTCTGTTTTTGGTTCTTGAATTTGATTCTTACAAGATTTCCATAATCGTTGATACCATGGTGGTTGTCGATATTCAATATCACCAGCTACTATTGATGCTCGTCGTATCATATCTCTAGCATTTTTTGAAAGAGAATCAATTCGTTTTACTTCACCCGGTGGATGTTGTCGAATTAATCTATCATTACGATATAGATTTAATATAGATTCACCATTTGAATTTTTTTCTAATTTAAATGTATCAATACCATTCATATCGATAATTTCAGGTGTTAAGATATGAACTTGTTTAGCAATAGCTTTAGCTGTTGTCGGATGATCGCCAGTAACCATTGCTATACGAATTTGTGCACGACGCGCTTTTAATACAGCATCAGGTACTTCAGGTCGAGGTGGATCAAGTAATGAGAAAAGACCAATAAAACAATAATTATCTGATGGAAATCCATTTAAATCTTCATTATTAACTTCTAATAATTGTGATCGTTGTTTATCATTATAATTTTTCATCATATTATCATATTGTTGTCGAGTTAATTCTCGTTGACACATTGCAATAACACGATTACCATTTTTACCTAAATCCTCTTGTCGATTGAATAACATTTTTTTAATATCAATATCTAATAATGCAATTTCATCATTATTTTTTTTATATGTTGAACATCGTTGAATAACGATATCAGGTGCACCTTTCAGAGTTATTAAAACAGTTCGATCTTGTTCTGATATTGATGAATCAATTGTTTCTAATTGATTCGCTGAAATCATGAATTTATTTGTTGAATTAAATGGTAAAACTTTTAAACGTGGATTAACTTCGCGTACTTTTTCAATATCAACTAAACATCGTTCTGTACAAAGATTATAAAGAGCAGTATCGGCTGCATCACCAACAACACGTAATTCCGATTTCATTTTCGATAAATCTTGTCCAATTTGTGTATCTTGTACTAATTGAATTTCAGCATTATTACAAAGTGATGCACCAAGTAAAAGATCACGAAATGCTTGTATTTGAATTTCACTTGCTTCACTTGAAATTTTATTTATTCGATTTTTATCAGTACATGATGCCATTGGTTGTGTTTGATTGATATTAACTAATGATAATTTTCGTACCATTGTAGCTGCATCAATAGAAAGTCGACGAGCTGTTTCGACAACATCTGTTGAAAGACGACGAATTGTCTGAAATATAGTTTCTTCTTGAGTTATTTGAGGTTGAGGTAGAGGAACTTCATAAACACTTTGTGTATCCCATAATAAATGAGTAACAGTCATTTTATTTTGTGTTAATGTACCTGTCTTATCAGTTGCAATAACAGAAACAGAATTAAATGTTTCAACTATTTGTAAACTTTTAACAAGTACACGTTGTCTATACATTTGTTTGGCAACAATTGTTAAAACTAAGAAACAAAAAAAACTAGATCTTCATATGTATATAATAAAATATTTTATTTACCAAGAGTAACAGCAGATGGTAAACCTACTGGTAAAAAGCCAACAATCATCCCAATTGAATTAACAATATTTGCATTAAATGTAACAAATCCATAATGATCATAATTTAACCATGATATCCATGTTATCCATAAGATAATAATAGCTATTATTGTGGAAAGTATAACAAATAAAACAAAACGATTCACTTCACGATGTAAACCAGTGATTTCATCACCTGAACTTCCACGAGTTAATTTCGACATTTTACCTAATACAGTATTATCACCAATAGCAATAACAACTGCTTCGCCTGTACCTTGTTCAACCATTGATGAATAGAATCCAATATTAGTTGATTCCATGAAGTTTGTATTCGTACATTGAACTGTTACTGAAATTGGTTTCGATTCACCGGTTAATTCTGATGTATTTATCTATTAAAAGATATGAAAGACAGAATTTTTTGACATAAACAGACTTCGATTATTACTTTAAGACCATCACATGATATAAAACGACAATCTGCTGGTAATTTATCGCCCATTCGAACAAGTATAATATCGCCTGGAACAAGTTCATCTGTAAGAATTTGTTGTTGTCTTCCATCTCGTCGTACAGTAGTTAATATTGGTAATAGTTTCGAAAATGCCGCAACAATTTTAATTGATTTTAATTGTTGATAAACATTAAGAATTGAATTACATGTAATAACCAAAATTAAAACAACACCTAAGGCTAAATTTGTTATTGATGGATTAGGCTCACCAAATGGTTTATAAGCTAAAAAAGCTAAAATGCCACCAAACCAAAGAATACAATTAAATCCCATAAATAGTTCTTTAAATAAAAGCCAAAAGTAACATGGTTGTTTGGGTGGTGTAATTTTATTACTACCATATTGAGCACGACTATCGGATACAAAATTATCTGATAAACCATTGCGTGGATCAGTATGAAAACGTGTAAAGACTTGATCGAGTGGAACTATATGAATATCTTGTTCAAGACGTGATTTATCTACTGTAGCCCAAAGATCAATTATTGAATCTTGACGAACTGGCATCTCTTTTTCAATAGTCAGCTCATCATTATTTTGTAATTCTTCATCAATTTGTATACCTTGATTATCCATTTTGCATATATATGACTAATCTCAATCTGAAATTTATTAATAGAGAAAATTACGAACTATACATGTACTTATAGTTCGATAAGTTTGAAGGTGAGAATAAATAATTTTACTGACCGCGTATTTAAATATATTCTTTATTGATTAGTTCCATGACATAGAAGTAAAATTAAAATGTATAGGATGTGTATAGATGTAACATATTTGAAATTGACATTATTTCATATTTGATAAGACAAATATATATAGTCGAAAAAAAAAGTTTTTACGACTTTTTCTTTCTTCATTTAAATTTAATGTACATATACTCACTCCCATGACCAAAATAATTATTTCTTAGTTTTTATCTATCATTATTCAAAAAAGTTAAATCATCCTAACATAGGTTACACAATCTGGACATTACTCATTGGCCTGATATTTAATAATCGAAAATAGTTGATTATACAGATAAAAGAGTATGTAAGTGATATAGTAGACGATTTATATCATATGTTTGATATTGTATATTGACGTTGTCTAAAACTTTATACATTAAAATGAATGATATGATTCATATCGAATTAATAGTTGTCGAAAATGACAAAACCCATGATAAATATATTTTATACTTTAAATTATTTCTCTGATCAATGATTTTTAAATACAATTATAGATTGATCAAATAATTTTAATCATGAAAATGTAGATGACTTTTATTAAATATATTATTTCTGAAGATTAGTGTGAATATCAACAATTATGCTTGTCAGACCACTTCCTATTTTTATACATCATCAATAAACAAGTGAAAAATCATTGTTTTTACCTTTTACCATCTGTCTGAATGTACGAAAATTTTAGCAGGAATATTTCGTTCAGATACATTCAAACTTTAATATCAAAACATAATATTGAAGAAAGTCACGTGTGATAAATGAGAAAATTATTAGATAATTTAAATTATTATTCGTTTTTTATTTTATTTTTCGATTATATACTTGAAACAGATACAATTTTTAATCAATTCGTGCATCTGGAAAAAATCAATTCGACAATGGCATCCAAAATAAATCACAAAACAAGAATACATGAGCAACAATATAATAGAAAACTACAACATAAACAATAATAAAAAAAATCATCGAAAAAAAAAAATTATTGGCTCGTATAAGCCGGTAATAATGTATTGACTTTATTACCATGGACATTTTGGACAAAATAAATAAATTAATCTGTAGAAAACAAAAATCTCTTGCAGTCAAAGCAATAATATTAAAATAGTCGTGATTCATATATATATACACATGTATAATTATACAAAAGTAAATATGAATTCAAGTAAAATGTCTAGAGAAATATAATATAATTTAAATGCATACTTATATGAAGAGCATACCTATATGCAAATCATTTTTTAAGTCCGAAATATAAACCAAGTACTAAACCAATTATTACAAGAATTATAATCGCTATTAAAATTAATATAATTTTTTTTCGTCGAGCAGCAGACTGAAAACGAAGAGAATAAAATATAGTTTGAATACATAATAAATAAATTACCTGATAAGTAACTGCTTGTTTTAATTGTCCGGTAGCAGTAACTACATGGTTATCGGCAGCAACAATATTATTTTCGATATTATCTAAACAAATATAGCGATTAGTCCAGATTTTTTTGAAGTAAAATAATCATCTCATTAACTTACCAATGATTTCCCCTTGTTCATGAACCAAATTATGAACATCTTTGAATAATTCATTGACTTCAACAATATTTCTCTATAAATAAAGTATGAGTATTTTTTTATAAAGATAAATCCTATACTTCAAGTTGTTGCAATTGATCACCACGTTCTCTTAAAGCTTGCATATCAACATCTTGTTCCATAGGTATAACAACCTGGTCTTGATATTGATTATCTGTATAAGCATGATTATCGAAACCAGATCCATTGTTGACACTTTGTCGTCGATATGAAACAGATCGTGCACGTTCAAGACTTTCTTTTTCTTTTCTAGCACCAACACGTTGTATTTCTTGAAAATGAGCTATTTTTGTGGTATAAGTTTTTGTTAAATTCTGAATTAACGATTGTTTTTGTCTCTATAAACAAATTTATTCATAAAATCTTTCTGATTTGTTTCTCTTTTTTAACTATTACCTCATCAGCTTCAGTTTTTATAGGGATTTTTCGAATTTCTTCAAGAGTGTGATTTGTATTTTGTATTAATGTTTTTGTATCATTTTGTAGACGAAGACTATCAAAAAAAGTAAAGTAAGATTGATATTCAATTACAAATTTTATTCAACTTACTAACGATCTCGTAATGGTTCACTATCCTCTTGTGTACCTAACTTTTGTACAAGTACATCAAGATCATTTGCTATTAATAATGAAATAAATAATAATTCAACAAAAAAATAGATACAAATCAACATACTATTGTTAGTGATTTTATTTAGATTCGATAAGACAGCATTATTTAAACGTTGAAAATCACTAGCACTTGCCACTAAAATTAAATATGAGGATATAATTTCTCTTTTCCCTTTCTATCTTACTTTTTAAATATCAAGTATCAATAGAATTGTTAGTCTGAAAGAAAAAAATGATCATAACATAATTCAAGATTAGCAAAAACATGAAATTACGATATATATATATATATATATATAGAATGTTACTCATTGTTCAAGAATAAAGAAAATGAATTTACTATTTGAGATTGTATTTGATCTCCTCATTTACAATGATTCATTATCTACAATATTCCATAAATATGAGATTTTTTGAATTGAAATCAACATTCTTACTCATAGAAAAAATACTATTGTTGATGTTGTATTTTTTGTTATTGTAAAATGTGAGGACGAAATACAACATTATGCGAGCTACAATGTTATCGAGTCACTGGTAAAATATATTCACGTATCTAGCATGTAAATATTATAGTATTTATTAATAGACTCTCGATTTTATACTAGTTTACTTTTATCATTACTCATAATATCATAAAAGCGCCCACATATCTAGCAATGACTCATTTTTTAGTTTTATTGTCATTGAAAACTAGATGTCGCTGTAATTATAGAAAAATAAATTTAAAAGAATTAAAATATTAAAATCCACCGCAGAAAATTCTTTTTTTTTCTTAATAAATTTTATTTTTCGACACTGAAACATTAGCCAATTAAAATGAAAAGTATTTATCCCAATCAACACACAGCAGTCAGTCATTCAGTCAGTCATTTGGTTATTGCGTTATTGAACATAAAGCGCCATTTCGAACGTAAATCTAAACAATTAAATGGATACTGGAGATTTAAATTTACCTGCATATAAATATCAACTTGAACAAGTAATTATTAGTTTATTTTTATATTCATTAATTTTTCCTTGAATATCTTCTTTTAGGTAGAAATAGCATTGAAAGCAAAACCAGATGATCCTGAATTACTCAAACTTAAAGTTGATCTTGAAGTAATAATTTCGTTTTTTTCTATTGATTTATTTTAATTGATAATTTTATTTAGGAAGTTATACAAATAACAGCTGAATTACTTGGTTGTGATCCATCCATTTTAAATTCAGATGAAACAGGAGCATCATCAACAACAAATTATGAAGCAGCATCATCGAGTTATGCATCAACATCACAAGCAAACAATCCAGCATCGACATCAACAGCTCGTACAGCTATTAAATGGAAAACAGGTGATCGATGTTTAGCACCATGGAATGAAGATGGAAAGTATGTGTTATTATTTTATTTCCATAGAATAATGAAGATTGGTTTATTTTTAAAAAAAAAGAAAAGATACAAATATTCATATAGGAGAGCGGGGAAAAAAAGTTCAATTATGTCTATAGTACAAGTAAATATATACTGAGCAAGAGGAGGATTAACAATATGCTTCCATATAAATAAATAGCAATCGAAAATAATATTTGTTTGCGAATAGTATGTAAAATGAGAATTATTTTATAAATCTCGTTTTTTTTTCTCTTTATTTTTACATAGGTACTATGAATGTACAATTGATGATGTACTTGATGATGGTACATGTACAATTGTTTTTGATGGATTTGAATCAGCACCATTAACTGTTGTTCGAGTTAGTATTTAAAAAATATTAAAATATAAGAATGGTTTATTTATTTGTTTTTATAGGTATCAAAATTAAAACCATTCGATCGAACACGTTCTGGTTTAAGTGGAATAAAATCAGCTGCTAATCGAGCTAAGACAAAGTAAGAATTTCTAGGAAGAAAAAAAGATTGTTATTAATTTATTTTTATTGATTAGACGAGAATTGGAACAACGTTTACGTGAACTTAAACGTCGAAAGAAAGATAAGAAAGTTGCTAAATTAAAAGAATTCGAAGAAGAACGTGAAAAAGATAAAAAACGTTGGACAGATTTTAATTCAAAAGTAAGTTAAACAATAAGGAAATATATATGTATTCATTCTAATCAATTTCTTTTTATAGTTAACTAGTCGAACATGGAAAGGTGTTGTATCAAAATCGATGGTTAAAACTGATAAAAAAAACGAGCAATTACGTGGTACAACAAATGGCTATTTAGTTTCACATTATAAACCAGCTCAACCACGTCCTTAAATATTCTCTGATGTATAAAATCTGCGAAAGCGATGATTATTATTTCTTTTTTCGTGTACCTTTTCGTTCTTCGTTTTTGCGTTTAAATGTAATCTTTTTGTATGTGAAAAAAGAAAAGCACGAATAAAAAAACAATGACGTTTACATGTTATTCTAGATTTTTTTTCCTAAATTATCTCTTGAATTTAATTCGTGTGGAAAATAACAACGATTGCTTGAAATATGCAGAGTACTCGTCTGTTAATTACCGCACAACGTTGTTCATCGGCGTCTAAAATTAATCGTTTATTGAGACGATGTCTCACTACTTCTAACTCAACAACTAAAGCAACTCTTCATAAGTGAGCATATATTAAAATGTCATTCTAATCTTAAATATAATTCCTAAAAAACAAATCATTTGTTTTTAGCTCATCCTTATCTCTAGTCGATTCATCATCGCGTATTAATGGTCGATTTTTATCACTACCAAGATGTGGTATAATCACTGTTCGATATGCTTCATCCGGTAATTTACCATCTCATAAAAGAATTACTCTCCCAGCATTATCACCAACAATGGAAACCGGTACATTACGATCATGGTCTAAGAAAGAAGGAGAAAAAATTGTTGAAGGTACAAATCTATGTTAAAGTATTTCACAAGATAATATATTTATTTTTTTCAGGTGATATATTGGCTGAAATTGAAACTGATAAAGCAACATTAGGATTTGAAGCAGGTGATGAAGGATATCTCGCAAAAATTATTTTACCCGGCGGTAGTAAAGATGTACCTGTTGGAAAAGTAAATAATAAATGATTTGATATTTTGTTTTTTTTATCTGATTATTCAATGATTTATAGTTATGTGCTATTATTGTTGAGAAAGAAGAAGATATCGCTGCATTTAAAGATTTTAAAGATGATGGAAGTAAACCATCAACAAAAAAGACATCATCCGATGAAGAAGCCAGTTCAGCTCCAAAAACCGAAAAGAAAGAAAAGGAATCGGCGAGCAAGACAGAACAACAACAACAACAACAAACAACATCAACTTCAAAAAAAGACAAACCACAAGAACAAAAACCTCAAAGTTCGAGTGAAGGTAGCAGAACTGCAGCATCACCTTTAGCTAAAAAACTAGCTCAAGAAAAGAGCATAAATCTTGAAGTAAATATTTAATTCTTTATTTTTATTTAAATAGATATTAATATTTCATCTTTTTTCAATAGTCAGTTCAAGGTAGTGGTCCTAATGGTCGAGTTGTCGCTGAAGATGTTGAGAAATTTATAAAAGAAGGTGGTGCCAAAGTAAAATCAGAAACTAAGAAAACCAAAGATACTCAACAGACTCCATCTAAAACTACCAAAAAAGATAAAGAAACAGGAACACGTACTGGTGGTTATGATGAACAAAAAGTATCCGAAATACGATCAGTAAATAATCTATATAAAAATTTATCCCATATCGAAATTTTTCTAATTTCATAGGAATATGCACGTCGTGTAACAGAATCAAAGACTACCATACCTCATTATTATTTAACTATCGAAGTTCAAGTAGATGAAATACTCAAGTATATTGATTAAAAATTAAATTCGAATTTTTTATAATTTATTTTTCTATTTAGATTACGTCAAAATCTCAATAATATATTAACACCAAAATCAAAAGATTCAAAAGAAAAAGCACGTGGTATAACAATAAATGATTTTATTATAAAAGCAGCTGCACTTGCATGTAAAAAACGACCTGAAACAAATAGTGTTTGGATGGATAAATCAATTCGACAGTAATGATTATCAATACTTTTTTTTTCTTTTAAATAAATATTTATATTAGATATGAAACAGTTGACATCAATGTAGCAATGGCTACTGATGCTGGCGTTCTTATGACACCGATCGTTCATAATGCTGATCAAAAAGTAGAATTTTGAAAATTAAAAATGACCTATTTTTTTTCTATTGATTATATTTAGGGTCTTTCGGCTATTAGTAAAGAAATTTCAGAATTGAATGATAAAGCAAACAGTGGAAAATTGAATGATGATGAACTTGAAGTAAAACAATAAAAATCTTATTCTTTTTTTATTTATTTTTTTATATTATAGTCGGGAACATTTACAATTTCTAATTTGGGAATGTATGGTGTAACAAATTTTAGTGCTATAATTTATCCTCAACAAGTATATTTATTTAGAATAAAAATTCTAAATTAATAAAAAATATCTATTCATTTATTTTTTCTAGTCAGCTATTTTAGCTATTGGTGGTGTTGAAACACGACTTGTACCTGATAAAGAATCTCCAAAAGGGTATAGATTAATTTTTATAATTTGTTAATTAATTCATTTTTATCTATTAGATTTCGTCAATCAACTATTCTCAATGTGACATTAGCATGCGATCATCGTGTTATTGACGGTGCCGTTGGTGCGCAATGGTTACAAGAATTTAAACAATTTCTTGAACATCCCGGATCAATGATTTTATAAACAATTTTAGGCTATAAATTGTCAAGTCTTGTCTTCTTTCTCTCTTCCTTTTTCTATGCACCTTTCTCTTAACCATCAGTTGTAGCCTAGCTTTGTGATATACTAATCCTATGGCGTGCATATTCTATCTCCGTTTATTTTTTAGAAAAAAACAAACAAACAAACAAACATTAGAACATCTTGTCTTGTTTATTTTTTATAAAGTAGTTTTATTTTCTGTATAATTTATCAAAGTCATCAATAGAATTAGACATGGAATGAGTTCAAAACCAAATCAAACATCTCGTTTAGTCTTCATTATATTTCCAATGGAAAAGTAGGATTTTATAAGACAGACATGGATATTAAGATATTAAAATTGATACTGATAACATAGATAAATAAGATCAAAACGGAGAATATCAAATATGTTATATATCTAAATACAATATATAAAAATATAGATTAAGATTTTCATTCATAACTAAATGATAAATCTGTAATTTCAGATTATAATTTTGTTAACTAAAAGTATTTATTTATAATGGCTACAAATGCGTTTTCACGTACAATCTATTCTAAAATACGTCCATTATTATCAGCAAGTATTGAATCACGAAATATACTAGTTTGTAATTATCATGAAAAAGTCATTGATCATTATGAAAATCCTCGAAATGTTGGATCATTTGATAAATCTGATACAAGTGTTGGTACTGGTCTTGTTGGAGCACCAGCATGTGGTGATGTCATGAAATTACAAGTAATAAAAATCTTTAAGATTTGATTCATTTGTAATTATTGAATTAATAGATTAAAGTAGATGAAAATGGAAAAATTATTGATGCGAAATTTAAAACATTTGGTTGTGGTTCAGCTATTGCTTCGTCATCATTAGCTACCGAATGGATTAAAGGAAAATCAATTAATGAAGCAGGTACAATTAAAAATCAAGATATTGCGAAAGAATTATGTTTACCACCAGTTAAATTACATTGTTCAAGTAAAAGAAATTTTGATTTTAATTTATAACATACGTATATTTATTTATTCTAGTGCTTGCTGAAGATGCTATTAAAGCAGCAATTCATGATTATAATAATAAAAAAACAAACAAGAAAAAGGAATGAAAACCTTTCGTCAACTACCTACACTAATCCGTGTTTTGACATTCTTTCCATTTTTTATTTCAACAAGTGTCTCTAATCTTCCTATGCAAAAAAAATACCAATCTCATATTAAACTGTTATGAGTTCTAAAGAGACTTTTGAAAAGATTGTAAATTAATTACATGATTTATTTTTTTAAAAAATAAACAAGCGATTAAATACTATTAAAATAATTATAAATTGAAAAATAACATATCCTCAAGATAACGTGTATAATTAATAATAAAAAATTTCCTCATATTATTCTAAAAATAAATTCTTCCGATGGAATTATGCTAATAATATAATTTCAAAAAGTATAAATTTAGCACATTTTTTTTAGGTCAGACACGTCATTATAAGATAAGAATATATTTGATATTTATTAACAGCTGATAAGCTTGTTTTATTCTATTGCAATAAGTCTATTTTTAACAACTAAGTCTATAATGTGTCACAAAGAGATTTACTTTGAATTATATAATGACTATAAATATACTAGAATACTCTAAGACCGTATTGAATGTAACATGACTACAATTTTAATCTATCATGTATTAATTTAATGTAAATAAAGTCAGTTGTAGGTCATACAAATAAAGTAATATGGAAGGATTTATTGATCTCGATTTCTTTTTTAGGGAATGATGCCACAAAAAATTTTTTAATTAAAAGATAGGGATTCATAGGTGGAGTAACGCAATAAATAAAGGTATCTTTAAAACCAATTCACAATTTTTCGATGAAAAAAACCATATAAAATATTAACTATTACGTCTTCTTTATAAAAAACTTTCTAGAAAAAAAAACTTCATTAACAGTTATTAAAATATTTTCATCATTGTGAAAAGTAAGAGAAATACTCGAACAATATACATACTCATTTTGTAAGTGCATGCATAGGATATGTAATTATAATTCATTGTCGTTTTTATCAGCTGTTTTCAAACGTATTCATAATAATTTATATAAACATTGTTTATTAAGAACAATTGAATGCGTGATTGTCTGACAGGATGTTTTTTTCTATTTATAAATATACCGTTAAAATTAAGAAGATTTATTTATATTTTCAATTGAAAAATAATCAAATAAATAGGAAACGTATTTTTTTTATTATTTAAATAAACAATGAATGAGTCATCTGACAAAAAAAATATAAATTCTCTAAAATTTTTATGCATAAAAATCTGCTGGTTCAAGTTTAATATTCGATGATGATGATGCTGTTGCCCATAAATCATTTGTTTCTTCATGTTGTATCGAATGTTGATGTTGTTCTTGTTGTGAATACTGTTGATGTTGTTGTTGCTGTTGTATACGATGTAATGGTGCTATTCGTTCAAGATCAACTGTTAAATATCGTTTATAATCAGGTGAATTTAATAAATCAAAACATTGTTCAGATAAACGATATTTATCTCCAATATCAAGTGTACCAAGTGTTTGAATATAACGATCATATTCAACACCAAAACGTCCTAAACGTTCAATAAGATCATCATCATTTTTTTCATTATTATTATTATTATTGTTATTATTATTTTCATCTTCTTTTAACATTGGAGCACATTTAACAAGAAGATCAACACGTCTTCTTGTTCCATCAACCATTTGTACACCTTGTCTTACCATAATAAGTAATCGATATTTTTTTAATTCTTCAATAACTGAATCAAGATAAGCAGCATTACGTTTTAATTTTGAATTTGCATATACAGATGTACGTGTAAATGCAACATAGGGTAAAAGTAAAAGTTCATGAGCAAGTTCTAATGATTTAACATAGGAAGGATCAACAAATGTTTTTAAACGTTTTGATGCTGGTGATGTTGATCGTGGTGGAAATGATGATGTTGATGGTTGATGTAATATCCATGAACGATCAGCAATAGGTGCTTGATTTATTAATGTTGGTACTCTAAAGAATAGAAAGAAAAAAAACAATCTTATAAATCAATTCTATATTCATTTTTTTACTCTGGATTTAATGTTCCAGTATTTAATGTTGGTTCAAACATAATTTCAAATTGTTTTATACTTGTATTAACAAAATAAATAGCTGATTGAACAATAGCAACATTAATATTAACTCGTACTGTTGTTGTACTTCTTGTTTTCTCAATAATATGATTACAATTATCAAAAAATACTTTATCTGCTTGACCAAATGTATGAAATGTTCGTCGATAAACAATTAATGTTTCAATAGCTAATTCAATAACACGTAATGATGCTGATACACGTAAAACTTGTTCACGTGCTGATAAATATCTTGCCGACATACCTGAATGAGTATCTTCAAGTGATGTTGCTTGAAAAAAAACAGAAATATTATAAAATATATTCATTTGAAATCATCAAAAATCTACCTTTTAAATAAAGTGCATCGAGATAATCACACATAAATTGATTTGCTTGTGGATCATCAAAATAAAAATCAATTAAATTTGAACAATGACAATTAAGAACTATAATCCATTGTTCAAGTGATGGATAACGATTTGAATCAGATAATTTCGGTCGTCGACAAAACAAACGTGCTTTACTAGCTATAAATATCATTAACCAATCTGTATTATTTATAAGATAGTTATTATTATTATTCAAACTAGTGTTATTATTAAATTTAGTTTCAAGTATTTTCCGAATAAATTGTCCATTACTTGTTCCAATAATTGAATGAGAATTTTGTTTTTGTATATGAGCATATGTTCCATGTTCATCAAATTTATCTGATATACAAAAACCTGTTGGTAATGTTGATTCATCTGATCGACAAAATATATTTGAATTAAATGTATGTCGAGTATCATATTGTTGTCCTGTTTGACGGAGACATTGTACATTATTCATTGCTTGTTTTATATGTTCAACAAGTGATGAACGTTCATAACCTAATTAAAATTTAGTTTAGTTTAGAATATTAATTCATCAGAGACGGCCTACAATTATATTTCAAGGCTGTCTCCTTTGTTTTTCTTTTATATGAAGTTATTTCATCTACTTCTTCTTCCTCTTCTTCTTCTTCTTCTTCCACTCAGACTCGGGTCAAAGAGTTCCATGAGAAAAGAGAAGAAGAAAAAAAATAACCTTCACGGGAGCGTTTTTTGAATTTTTTTTTTTTTCATAATGTATCTCTATTTAGCACCATATCTCTTTTGTTTTTTCCGCTATTTTAATTTATGATAACAGAAATAAATGTAAATCAAGTTAATAATTACTTTCATAACTGACTATATTTATAAAAAAAACCTGTGAGATCTTACTCATTTATACTCTTTGACTCGTAAATTTCAAATCTATCTTTATCTTTAATAAATAAAATATTATATAATAATCGTATACTTAACGATGAATGTGTTTTATTATCTTATCATATATTGTAATTTAGTGTTAGTATTTTAAGCATCACATAGATAAAACTCAACTTGACCTATTTTCTTGAATTTTATTTCCGTGATGTTTTTTTTTATTTTTAAAGTATTACTAATAGATTTTGATATGATTTAAATATAAAAAGAATCTATTTCCGTCAAAATTGTGTTTCAATCTTCATTTATCATATAAAAATTAGATAAAAAATATGATTTTTTTACCTGATCGTACAACTAATAATAAATGAAGATTGAGTTTATGTTTTAGTTGATTGTCAGCATAGACAAATGAAGTTGGTGTAAGATAATATGAAGTTAAAGCAAGTAAATGCATAAATAGGCCAATATTATCAAACATATAATAATCACTTAATGCATGAATCAATTCACACGTATCAGGTGATAAAACTCGACGTAGATCAAGTTGATAAGATTCATTAAGAACTATAAATGTTGAATCGAACCATTGCTCCATCGTACCAATATTTTCATCATCCATTGTTTTCTTCTTCTGTTTTCAGTTTCTGCTCGTGTTCTCTCTACTGCTTGCTACTCGTTCTACTGACGGCAACAAGAATTCTGATTGAAGAAAAAAGAATTCTCCCTCTTTGCCTCGCATTTCTTTCTTTATTTCCTGTATCGAGCCTATTGCAAGTTGAGTGCAGAATTTTATGTGTTGTTAGTCGGTCGGAGAAAGAAACGAGCAGAACCGACTATATATATATTTATATATATATTTGTCCTCACTAATGGAGAAAAGAAGAATGAATAAATGTGAGTCTAGTTGTCCTGTCAATGAGTATAAGAAAGGAAACTTTGACAGAGAGCCGAGAAAAGAAGGACAAAAATGATTCGGAATATCTGCGGCATTAACACCGGTAGTTCTTTAATGTCATTGAAAAAAAAACGAAGCCAAAAAAAAAAAACAAAAAAGAAAATAGTGCTTTCTTTTTATGATTATTTGATGTATTAAAACTATAATAAAAAAAATCATTTTTACTGAGTGGTCCATCACTAATAGAGCATTCACGTTTATACATTTTAGTAATTGACATAAGAAAAATACAATAACATAATTGTATCTACTTCACTCGATGAAATTTTTTAAAATGCATTTAAAAAATTGAAGAAATAACATGACTTTTAAAAATCAGTAACATACTTTTGTGTAAAAAAAAGGATTTGTAAAATACAATAAAGATTTTCTCGATAATGTTTACTATTTGCATGACGAAAACGATCGATTTGGATATTAAAACTACGCTGTCTGTATGAATGAAAAAACATAATCAGTCTAATGTAAAATGATTAAATTCTATTATACAAAGTATTTAATATGATTTGTTTTTTGTAAAATTCGCTCGTCGAAAACTTATATTTAGCATTGGAACCCGGTGATCTCAGAACTAAGGTCAAAAAAACATCCTTTGTTAGAATAGACCATTTTTTCATTTAAATCACTTTTTTATGCAAAATAAACCTTAAATTCATGATCAGCGTGATCGATAATCTCTATCTAGATAAAATTAGAGTGAAAAACAAAACAAAGGTTTTTTTGTTTTTTGGGAAGTCCTACGGCAAAAAAATGAAAAAAAAAGTTACTGTTTTTTCAAAAAAAAATATACAGTCTTGTTCAGAATTTAATGGTGATTCTAACCATATAGTTTTGTTTCTAAATGTTTGGAACTAAAAAAAATGACCTTACCACCACCTGTCTTTTTCAGGATATGTTTGACTGGGATATTCACTAAATTTTTAAGTAGAAACTCCCTTATATTTATCTCAGTTTCAACATTTTTAAGGCGTAGTAGACGGTTATTTTAATGCTTTCATTTTATATTGTTATTCAAGCGAATAAAGTTTTATCAAAATATTTTAAGCTAACAATACTAAATTATAATTATAGACAAAAACATAGGAATTAATCTAAAATTAAGTCAACTTGATAATCACTTATAAAGTTGATAAAAGTTATTTTCTTATGTTATTATAAATGGCTAAACTCATTTTAGGGTACAATATTTAAGCTAATAATATACACAAAAAGAAAAGTATACATGAACTATCAGCTGATATTATTTCCATTTATAATTTGATTTTTCTGATTATTATGCAAAATTTGTTTCTAAATCAGAAACCTACATTTATTTCTTTCAAAATAACAATAATATTTGAAGAACATACAATAACAAATATTTACTATTTACTAAAAAGATATTATTTACCATGACATAAATATTATTACAAAAACAAATATTTTCTGAATATAATCATTAATATATTGAATTAAAATATCATAATGATAAATTTTTCAAACAGAACTGCTCATATTTATCTTGAAATATAGCAGACGCATTTCCTGTTTTTTTTCAAGTAAACTTATTTGCAAAAAATAGATTCAGATAAACTGATAAATTTTTCTTCTTATACATTAAACGAACATAAATTATTTATCGTTGTCAATATATGAGTTTCTTGATATAACAAGTAAGAAATATAATTAATGACATCATCTTTCTTTTATATATTTAGACCTAAGATTGATTATATTGATATGTACATATATATATATATATATATTCTTTTTCTATATGTTCTATCTAAACATGTTCGGTCGTTTAAAACCACAAAGGTAAATCTACTTTTACCAATAGCAACGCTACTAATGATAATGTTTACTCATTTTTGTACTTTTATTTTATACAATATATACTAATGAATACAAGGTAAGGCAGGAGCGTATCCTTTGATCATAAATGTGCGATGCACTCGAGCGATGCGTAAATATTGAATGGTGCTTAAGGTAAAAGGCGAAATTTTTTATTGCGACGAATATATATGCATATATTTTGATAAGTAAACATTATTTATTAAATAAGCGATTAATTGACAAACATACACTGCTCACTTTATTTCCTAGACGATGATTTAAAAAAAAACAGAAATGGATTCTTCCGCAGCTATGAATGCATCAAATAAAGTATGTAAATCTCAAATAATATCTTGTTTTTTTTTGAATATTTCTTATTTTATTTTTTGTTAAAAAAAGGAACTTCATATGGCATCGAATTCTGATTCCGGTGATACAATTATTCCATTAGAAAATCCTAATAATGTACCGACAATTGTTGTTCATTCACCAACAAGTGATACTGATCTAAGTGTTACACCTGCTTTTCCAAATTTTTCAACGAATGAAGAAGTTGTTAATCAACCAGTATCTACTGATCCTATAGAACCATCTAATACAAATTTAGAAGAAGATGAAGAAGAAGAAAATAAATCTGTCTTAGTACCAATGACTACTCCAAATCTACCACAACAAAATACTCAATTACTTGATGAATTGAAATATTTACTAAAACCAACAAATTCATTAGCAACCTCAAATTCAGTAATACAAGAATCCGTAAGATTTCGCCATTGAATATTATATAAATATATCAATATATTTCTATTGTAGCAAGAAGCAGATGCAGCTATAAAACGTCGAACACTTCAATTTGACGAGAATTTAATGACAAATGCTAACAACTCGTTAATTGATGATTTAACACCAAATGAAATTAAATCACTGAATGCAGCAGAACGTCGTTCCATTGCATCACGTAGTCATCGATCATCATCAAACGCTGACTCAATAGGTAATGGATCACGAAATCCATCAATGCAACCAAGTATACATCCCCGTACTCAATCTCAATCATCATCATCAGCCGCTCCCATTACTCAACCTGAACAACGTACTTTGTTGAGTCAACTTTCTGGTTTAACTTGGGCATTTATTGCAGCTTATTCTTTTACTATCATCTTATTTCTAACTCGAATGTGTGGAATTGATCTTATCTTTGGATTTTTCTTGCAAATGATTATTCAAACAATAGCATTTGGTGTTTATGCTTTCTATAAAGGTTATAATTTATTAGGACCATCGGATCATCGAATTGCAATGATTTGTCGTGCTGTACTAATTGGTATTGGTTCATTGACTTCTTTCCTTGCCTATTACTTTATAACAATAGTGGATCTTTCAGCCATTCGACAGAGTCAAGTCATAGTGACTATAATACTTTCTATAGTTGTTCTTCATGAACGTGCTACTATAGCACGTATTATTGCGTGTGGTATAACATTTATTGCTATAATGATTTTTTATGCAGAAGAAGCATTTAGTTCGTACAACACTTTCTGGAATCCAAATGTAATAACGTGGAATCATCTTCTCGGCATTAGTCTTGCTCTTTGTACGGCTATTACTCATAGCATAGCATCAACAATGAACAAACGTTATTTTAGTATTGAACAATTACATAATACTGTTTTATGTTTTTGGTCAGCTGTATCAGCATTCATTATATCAAGTATTGTTCTATTTATAAAACACTTTTTTTCAAGTGGTGCACACTCATATTCTGTGTATAGACAACGTCTTTTTTTTGCTGATACACACTTATTTCCTCATGATTGGCGTTTATTTGTCAGTTTTTTACTAGCATTAGCATCAATTTTTGTTTTTATTGCTAATCAAAAAGCAATAAAACGTGGACCTCCTTCAATAGTAACATTAATTTATTCAACAGATATTGTACTTGCATTGATCTTACACAATATATTTTCACGTATTAAAAGTAGTAAAGCCGGTCTACTAGGTAAGATTTTCTTTATTTACTGTTTAAATTTACATATTTTTTTCATTTGAATAGGTTGTGTGTTAATATTAATATCTATTTTGGTCGTTTGTCTGGAAGTATTTATAGCGGAGAAAAATAGAAAGAAAATGGCAATTAAAATAGTAGAAGCAGCGAATGCAAGTACACAAAAATTTGACTTACCAAAACCATCAATTTTAAAAAAACCAAAAAAACAGTTTTTGACATAAGAAAATATTGTATGTCAGTGTAATGTTCGAAGAAGAATCAGACTTAATATTATTGCTTCATTTCTATTGTTTTACGCTTCTTCTTTTTTTTTGTAATATTTTTAATTCAGAAAAGTTTCTAGAACTAACCGGCATTATTTTCTAGACATAAATTATGTTCTAAAACGAACTCGAGCATTTATAGATATCTAGTAAAAACATTTTTCAGATATGAGTAGCAATTAACTTTAAACTAAACAAAATATAAAATTCGATACGGTGTCTTTCTGATATAAACAATCTATCTGGATAAATAATAGTAAATTATGAATATCAATATTAGTCACTTTTCACGGGAGTATTACTAACTAATGTAAAAATAATAGTGTACATTCATTTGAATTAAATAAGAAAAATAACTGCGTCAATTTATTTTTATCTTTTGAAGGTAAAACGATAAATGATTTATACGAATTTTATACGGCATATATTTAAACGAAACACAAACATTTTCAATCAATATACAAAAAAACAAATATTTAACTAGTTTTTGTTCGTTTACTAGTTGATTGATCAGCCCTAAAGAACAAAAAAACAAATTAAATAAATAAATATTTTTAGAAAAAGAAAATTAAACATACGAATTACTACTAGGTGTTTCTCCTTTTCGTTTACTATCAATAATTTTTGATATTTGTTGCCATTCACGTTCTAATTTTTGTTTTTCATCTTTTGGTCCTACACCACGTCGTGTTTTTCTTCCATCATTCATTTTAACACCATATTGAAAAGCTGCTTTTGGCATGGCTTCTTTTTGTCCCATATAATCTGAATATTCTTCAGCTGTATCAAAATCCCATCGACCAACTGGACCTTTCTTTGAACCCATATCCATCTTGTCAAAATCTGGTTCATCATCAGAATCAATATTAACATCTTCTTCTGCCATTGTTCTATTTTAAAACTTAAATTAATATTAATAAAATCAAATTCATATATTTACCCAGGATAACATTCAGCATACGAATCACCATCAGGGTTTGATTGAAAACCAGTTTTATTCTTTTTATGTGAACTCGATGAAGTAGTGCGTTTTTCATCCTATAATAAATACATAAATAGGGAATAAAAATAAGTGTGTGTGCTACTCAATAAAAAATATAAGTTTCCTTGGGGAAGAATTTTCGATATTTCTAAGTAGAAGAAGAGTTTACAAACTGTACACAGAAATGATTGATACTATAGAATAAAATCAGTTTGGAAATTTCTTCTGTATTTCATCAATATGAAATTATTTAAACTAAAATTCTCACATACGGTATGAGCATTGTATTTATTATGAACATTGCGTATAAAACTTTTCACTGCTTCAGCACTATGTAAATTATTTTCACCATGATCATCAGTATTTGATTTGTGATCATTCTAAATAGATTTCGAATAAAATGATAATAGTTTTCAACAAAAAAAAGTAGAAATATTTACAGATTTTGAGTCACCATGAAAATAATTCTTCTTTTTACTATCACTTTCATGTTGATTTTTTTGACGATCATTTGTTGTTGAACGTCGTTTAATATCAGGAATATAATCACTAATATCCTCATACATACTAATATCTTTAGCTTTATTTGTTATTGTATTTATTGAATCATATGTTGGTTTAATATTCATTTCTGGTTCAAGTCCAGAAAAGATTCCAGTACCTTTCTTTTTTTGTCGTTTTAAATCACGTTTTGAATGACGTAAATATGAAAGAATTTGAGTTAATTTATTGATAACAATGTCATTATTACTCATTGTAGTTGTTGTCTAAAGATAAAAATAAATCTTCTTCTTACAAAAACATAGATATTCTTTAATATATACTTCTGCATTTGGACAATCAGCTTTTGATCGTATTAATGTTGTTGGTATATCATCAAGTGTATGTGTACCTTTTTCATTATCATCATCTTGTTGTCCATTAACATTTTCTAAATCAATAATATATGCCATACGATGTGGTAAAAATAATTCATTAATACGACGTGGTGGTGGACGAAACAATATTCGAAATATATTTTTAGCCATAGGAGTTTTTAAAGCTAATCGATGTTCTTCTTCTTCTTCTGGTGTCAATGGAGTTGAAGGAACTGAAGATGAATTTTCATTTGATGAAAGTTTCTTTTTATCTATATTTGCACCAGAACCAATCGGTGTGCTAAAATATTAACAAAAAACTTTCAGTAAAAAAAAATTAAAAAGCAATTATATTTTAATGATACTCTATTTTCTAAAATCGTTCAAGAATTCAACTATAATATTATCGTATTTCAATAATTAAACCATATCAACTCATAACATCGAAGCTTTATATTTATGCCGCATATTAAAACAATATTATAAATTTATCGAGCTAGAATGACTAGTAAGATTTTGTTTTAGGAAAAATACTATTTAAATAACTAAGAATCTCTCAGAGTCTAATTATTTTAATATTCGTAATTTGAATTTTTTTATTATCTATGCGCTTGTAGTATGTAACATGATATTCTATGGAATTTTTGACTATTAGAAAGTATGAAAATAGAAGATATATGTATACAATTTAAATCTTTTCTATTCCTATCGTATAATTACGTTTTAAATGATGGTTTGGCAAAGATATGTTCGTCTTTATTTAAAGGTGGTTGATCATTATCATCATCATCATCATCTCCAATTTCTGCTCGTACCTAAAAAATTTAATGAATGAATTATAGTTTTAAGAATAAAGTGTTTAAATACTTTTTGTAGTAAAGCGTAATCTAAACCTTTAACTAAATGTGTATGTTCTAAATCACCACCTAAAAATTTTGATTCTTCAATTTGTTGTTTTCTTCTTGCTGCAGCATCAAAATTTCCTTGAGCATCCGGTGCAACTGATTTATAATTTCCAGCTGATGTTGCTTGTTGATTAGGATTCGTAGTTAAACCAACATCAAATTGATCTTCATTTGGTGCTACTTCTCGTCGTTCACGAGCTCGATCACGATATTTTTTTGCTCGTTCTTCTTCACGAGCTTTTTCTTCTCGAATAACTTTTGCATAATATTGTTTCTTTTTCTTACGTTTATCACTTGCTTCAGTACCACCTTCGCCTCTATTTAAAATTGAATTAATATTTATTAATATAGAATAATAAATGACAAACTTTTGAGTAGTTGATGATTTTTGTTGAGTAGTCGATGATGATGTTGCTCCATAACGTTGTGCTGTTGAGGAACCAGGTGCTGCTGGTGTCATTAATAATTTTCGAAAATCATCATTTGTTAATGGATGTCTATAGAATAAAGAGAATTATTTTGAAACTATTGTTTTAAATGAAAATTACCCCGAGCCTGATTCACCATCATCATGAGGCCGGTAATTGGCAGGAGCCATTGGATTCGAATAATGTTCGTCTTAATAGACAAAAATAGCATGAAAATATCTGTGAAAATATTGGAAACTTACTCTCAGGCATAATTGTATTCGATTAGTACGTTGAATGAAAGCTTCAGATGAATATTGATTGATAGAAAGAATTAAAATAGAAAAAATTAGTGGATGGTGTACATAGCCAATCCGCATATATATATTTAAATATCACACTATAAAATGCTCTTTGAAATTCTAAATTATTCTTTTTCTTTAATAAAAAAATTTCAATTAAAAATTCTAATCATTTTCGAATTATCAATATCATACGACATCTATAGATAGAATCTTAAATTTCGTTATTATTTATTATATGGATCTAACCAATCTATCACATCTGGTTACTTGTCATAAGAGAATAGCAATTTCAAAATTGTGTCCATACTTACTTTAATTACATAGTAAATAACGAAGTAAGCAAAATGAGTCATTCAGATTTTATTTTATTTCTTTCTCATACAGGTAGATTGAATATCACAATCATAAAATAAATGGCTTCAGCAGCTGCATCTTCGAATTATATAGGTTCTACTGCAGGAGCATCAGCTTCTTCAAGCTATGCAACTACTACTGCTTTTAATGATGATAGGTCTCCAAAATTTGGTGAATATCGATCACGAGTATGTCAAGTATTTGTCTATTTTTTTGTGTAAAAACAAAACATTTTTATTTTAGGTTATGCTCGGTGATCTCCCAGAAGATTTTCTTCGTATACAAATGATACAAGCACAAATGTATGATCCAACAGGATATGGTACAAGACAAGGCCATCCCGCTGTACCACAACAACAACTTTATCAAAATCCTAATTTTCTTGGCTATTTTACTTTGACTATTGCCGAAGTAATTTAAATTCTATTCTACTGAAGAAAAAGATTATCTGCTTTTTATTTTAGGCAAAATTGATCAAAAGTTCTGGTTTATTAGGTTTGATGAAAATGGATCCATATGTTAGATTTCTTATTGGGCATGTTTCATATGAAACACCAATAGCAACTAGTGGTGGAAAAAATCCACAATGGAAAGCTTCATACCGCATGTTAGAATTAAATGAAATAATATACTTTTTTTATTAGTTTTTTTTTAATATTATATAGTAATCTATTCAAAGGAATGGATAGAATACATTTGGAAGTTTATGATCAAGTAAGTTTTATTGTTTTGATATAGATTTTACCAATTCTTATATTAATATTATAGCGAAATTTTACTGAAGATGCCTTTGTTGGTGAATGTGAAATACCGATACCACGAGAAGTAATGGAAGGTGAAACACGTCAACATTGGTATCCATTAATGGGACGACAACCGAATGCAAATGAAAATCAAGGAGATATTCTTATTGTTATGAGTTTTGTGGTAAGTATTTTAATAACAGAATCAGAGATAATTGTTCTTCAAAAAGAAAAAATAAAGAAGAATTTAATAAATATATTATTTTTCAAATAGCCAAGAAGTGAACAGATGATTTCTGATTTAAATGATGCCGTGCGTATCTTGATGTCGTCTAGTTGTTTTGTTTATTTTCTCAATAACTTTTTCGTTTGTTTCTTATATATCTCGTATTTCTTCTATTCATAGCCAACAAGACCAGTAAATCAAAGCTCAGTTGCGAACTCAACCGGTACAAATGTTGTGAATCCTAATGGAAATACAAGTTTTGCAACCAATGCTGCTAGCTCTTCAGTACCATCTCAATCAACAAATATGACTGAACAACAGCAACCAGCACAACATTCACCATCAGCGATACCAAAACCACCACGACCTCCATATTCATCTGAAGACGTCCGAACAATTGAAGAAATGTTTCCTACAATTGAACGTCGTGTTATAACTGGTTTACTTGATCAACATGACGGAAATAAAGATCTTGTTGTTAATCATCTTTTACAAAACATGGCTTAATTCATTTCTGTATTTTTTATTTTGAAAATCAAGCATAAATCTTCATTTATGTCCATGCGTGTATATATGTCTTGCTTGTTTGTTAGTTTCTTTTCAAAAATACTTTTATCAAAGAGATGACAATATATATATATATGCATATAATCTAACAAGTACAGTATATCAATCATACTAATCCTTAGAATTTAAACATATCGAATAAGTTAAAATAGAGATAAATTATCTAATAGAGACTTTCCAAATAATGCTACATCACAACATAAGTTCTGTTCAGTTTCTCAACGAATTGACATCAACAACTGATACCATGTACAAAAAAAAACTTCTCACTTAAACTTTCAAAGGTTTTAATAAAAACAAGTTCTAGATGATGTAAAGAGGGTGTGGGCGTAGGGGTGGGTGTGCGTGCGGGTGTCAGAGAATGAGAATGAGTGATGTGTATGCATTCAGACATGAGTAGGAGAAGAAAAAACACCCACACCCGAACGGAATTCAGAAGCAAAATGTTTTTGTACACTTTGTTTGACCTAACAAAATGTACATGTATACTATATTTTTGAAAGCAGAGTGTACCAAAGTGTATAAATTGGATTTAATTATAATCTAGAAATATAGAAAGTATTGATATTCTTTGTTAATAAGGACTGTCAAAGAAATGCATTATTCGTCAATATTAGTATCAACATTCATTTAAATTTAAACAGAAAAGAAATCAATTTATGGCTTAAAAACAAAATGTTAATTCTGTTCGCAGAGTGTACCGTGTTCATTTTTTTTTCGCCAGCAACGTGTAAACCAGCGTGTATTTCAAATGTTGCAAATGTTTTGTATATTTTGATTCTGCTTGGTACACTAGCCATTCGAAACTTTCATTTGGATACCTATAAAAATACATTACCTGAAAAGTCGTTTTCTATCAATTCACGTCACTTCTCCCAATCCACACGCCTCCTTCAGTAGTATGAGCAAATGAGGTGCACATTTAAATTCGCCGCATCGAAATACCTCTGGAAATGTCTATTCCGAAAAATTGGTTTTCGATGTTCTCTTTACCCTGCCAACATACAAGCAAGTAAACAAACAATTTATTTCTGCTGGACTCTTCTCTACAAGAAAGAATAAAATAATATTTCTCGATAATAAAAATTTCTCTAAGTATATTAATTAATATATATGTTAAAATTGTAATTACTAGGTAAATTTATTGACTTTGTCGGTAAAAAACACATTTTAGCAATTAAAAAATATAAATTTGATAGGTAAAAACGAATGACGGACAAGTCATTATTTTCCGTTCGGTTCTTTTTATGTTTGTTGAGATTTATTTCAGCCGCTCTACCTCGACCACTCCATGAATATTTCGAAGAGTGTACGATCCACTCCCCTATATATAGTCTGTGCTTTTTACAAATAAATAAAGTGTGATCCAAGTATACTGATTTTCAGTCTTATCCAACCGACTATGTGAAGTTACTCAACTGATACAAGTTTTATATACATGTACAATGGCAATTATTGAGGGTGGGTGTTGACAATATATTCGCACTACACCCACACCCACACCCATCTTCTTTCTTTTTATCCGATACAAATTCTATCTGTGCATATCTTTACTAATACATGAGATAAATCGAGTGATTATGTTTTATGTTTTTTGTATTTATTATTCAATCACTTAATAAGTTGTATTAAAAACAAAGTATACCATAAGATGTAATACAGAAAGTTTTACAAGTAAGAGAAGACTGTTTATTTTATAATTAGAATGAGAAAAAATATTCTCTCAGGGTAGTCACACAGAATTTTGCTGTTTTTAGAAATAAGTGCTAAGTAAAATAAAGCGGTCTTGTTCAGATTAAAGAGTTTTTCATGCTGCAACTTTTGGCGTATTTTGTTTTTTTTATTAAATAAAAAGCATCAGGTGATAAAAAGATAAAATGAGAAACAATGAATTCTTTTTATACCAAAAAAATATCGTATTCTCTCTTCACTATATTAAAAAAAAAGAATATTATCAGTTTTTTTATGCGATTACATACTTCGATCACATTATTCAAAAATAGATTGATGTTAATTTGATAGTTTCACTTTGATTATTTTATTTTATTATATAAGATAATGTATAAAAAGACAGTTTTAATAATATATTTTGAGGACAAAAATACATGATATAGAGGTTTTAAATTTTTACATTTTCTCATTATTAACTACTGTTTCATAGCTTGGTGGTGGTTCATCATATTCGAATAACGGAGCACTAGCCATAGGCATTTCAATAGTAGTGTTTATTTGTTGCTGTTGTTCATTTGTCATTGGTCCAGTACCAATAACAACAGGTACATTCACTTTGAAATCAGTAAATAATCCACGTACTTTCACATCTAACAGCAATTCATAGTGGACAGAAACATTGATTGGTATACCAGAACATGGTGTTACATACATATAAGTCGGAGATAAACAAGTAGAAGGCACAAGAAGTTCGAAAGTTCGTTGTAATTCTGTACCATTAAATTCATGTAAATCTGATATATCTGTTCGAAATATAACTGCGGCATGAGAAGTTCGAGCAACTTGTCGATGCTGAATTAACGTCGCTTCGACCTTTTTAATTTCTGATCGTTTAGGATTTTGAAGATCAAATTGAATAGAAATTTTTCCACCAGGTACAGTACCACCTTGTGCTAAATATCCTTGTAATCGAATTTTCTTTCGATTTTGATTTGAAAAAGACACTGGTTGTTGTCCACCTGGTACATGAAGAATATTAACATTAGGAAAGATTATTAATGGATAAACTTGTTTTGCATTTGGCTTGTACCATGGTTTATCGAGAACAATACGAGTGTAATATTTAACATAAGGATAAGAATTTGCCGATGGAATTAATGAAGGTGGCAAGTTTGGTGGTAAAACAAATGCAAATGGCCACGAATGTTGACCACGATAAAGAGTTATTTCACGCTAAAAATAACGAAAAGAAAAAATTTTGTTTTTCAATATTTTTCATGAATTTATTTAGATTTTTACTTGTCCGTATTGGGGCTGAGCAACAGGAACACGAATATTTATAAATGGTATGTGATGTTGTTTTGTATAATGTTCAGTTCGTGGATGATTATTATTATCTTTGAAATGTCTTGTTTCTTGTGTTGTATATCCAACTTCCCCAATAAATTCAAGAAAAATTAAATCTAATGATAACTTATCTTGTGTATTTTGAAAAGAAATCTCGCCTCTTATTTGTTCACCAGTAAAATAAAATAAATTTGGACGATCAAACGTTACTTTAATCTCACTACTTCCACTTGCACCCATACTTTTCTTGATTTAACGATAGTTTTTGAACTAATAAACGACACAACAAATATGACGACGAGTTTATATTTATAAGGATGAAGACCATGAAAGTAGAGTCAGAGAAAAATCGCGTCTATATACTTCGTCATTCAGTCAACAACAGACTAAGAAAGAAAAAAAAGAGTAATGGTACCTTGCCGTTATTCTTTTTTTTTCTCCTCGACTTCTAGCAAGAGAACGAAGACGTAAGGGACGATAAGAGTAGCAGTGTTTTAAAAAAAAACGAGAGAACATATAATTCAAAGCATGGTCGTCTTAACAACTCTTACAGTTGTTACTCATCGACATATTGTGATACAATATCATTGTGCGAACATTTTTTATTTCTTTCTCTATTTACAAACTTGATGATGTTGTAAAAAGAAATAGAAAAAATTATGATTAGTAACACAATGATATCAAAACAAATGAGTAATAAATTTTTTAAAGTGATATTTTGTTTTAGACTTTATACTACACCATATCGGTATAACAAGATCCTAATCAGATACTGATTCTATATCATATCAATATAAATTCGTTCAGTAGACATATAATGGAAAGTTTTTTTTCTTATCATTCCTTATCTTACTTTCTTAGAAACCAACACATAATGAATTAAAAAAAGAATTGTTATTCATATTGCTTGATTATGCAGGCTTTTATTTTTATCAGTAAATTATATGAGAATTTTATGTTAGATTTAGTAATCATCTGCGAAGTTGTGAACTTATATAGATACCAAGAGAAATATTTATATTATATGATTGTCTTTTCAACTTGAGATTTTTGTATTAATTAAAGATAATTTCGCATGAATATGTAGAAGTACTCGATGGATATGTTAAGTTAAAATTTATCGAACAACAATGATTTTGTTATGAACAGTCACAATCATAATTTACTGTGTCAATTCATTCAGATGATGATCACAATAAAGAATGTCTAATTGTTAAAAGAAAATGTAAGCAAAAGCAAGAGAGAGAGAGAGAGAGAAATACTTTGAAAGAGGAACAAATAAAATGTAATAACATATTTTTTTTTAAATTAGAAGTAAATTAAACGATCCGTGAAAAGCAGCATCATTAAAATATGATGTATATACATAATATCTTCACTTTTTTTTTACATATTATGCTGATGAAGAATATTTAGAATAAGTAGTGTTTGTCAGACGTTGTTGTATAGGATTTTTAAACATTGTCATCGTCATCATGATGATGCTAAAAATAAAGAAAAATAAATTTATTGAAGTTAAACAAAAAACTCGAGAGAATTTTATTTTGTTTTTTAATAGTTAGAAATATAAATAATTTACATGTTTATATGGGAAAAGTTTGAATATAAATCAAATATTTTTCAGTTAGTTGTTAAGTAATGTAAAATAGTAAAGCATTATTAAAAATGGAAAAAATAATCAACATATAGGAGTGAATCAACTTAAATTATATATGTTAAAAGCAAATACCCTTGTTTTCTCTTTCTTCTTTTGCTAGTTTTTCATTTATTAATAAGGCTTCCTTCAAAACTTGCTGAACTATTAAATCCGCAAAGGACTCAAGCATTTTGTTCTGTGACTACGGATAACAAAAAAATTTCAAATTTTTTTTTTTTTTTTGCTATCAATAATGAGGTTAGTAAGCAAGCAAAGATAATCACCTCCTTGTTTGTTTTTGGTGAGTGATCGCGTTGATTTAGTGTATCATTTTCATTTTTAAGTGCCTCCTTTTCTTGTTGTTGTTGTTGATCTTGGTTAATGATTAATTGGTCAGTATTTTGTTGCTTCTCATGATTATAAGTTAATTGTTCAGTATTTTCTTGTTCCTCACGATTATTAGTTAATTGTTCAGTATTTTCCTGTTCCTCATGATTATTAGTTGTTTGGTCAGTATTCTCAGATTTTTCATGAGGAGCGTGTTTACGAGTAAGATAACCACGAACACGAGATTGAATAACAGTAGCAGCATGTTCTTCATCTTCTTGGTTAGTCTATAAAACAGGTGAATAAGATCAAGCACACACACAAACAAACCCAAAAGCAAAATATTAGTAAAATAAAAATATTTGCAAAGCTATCATTGAATATAACTATACCTTTGTATTTAATAAATTAGATTGTTGTTCATCTAAATCATCATCTATTTGTGATGATATTGGAGGTGTATCATGATGATAACCATTGTCATAACCATTAGTATTCATTTTATGATGATTATTGCTACGATGATGACCATTAGTTTTTCCAAATTTATTGTTATGGTTATTATCATCATCATCGTTATCATAAGTCTTTGGTGGAGACTATAATGATGAATAATTTATAAATTGAAATTATATTTTTCACATACCTTTACTGATCGTACTGGTGGTGAACGTTGACGTGAATTGGCAACAGCATGATTAGTCTTTGATTGCGTTTGTGGTTGTTGTGGCCGACGAGGTTTTCTCTAGATAATAATATATTTTATGCTGACATTTAAAAAGAAATGATAATATTACTCCTCCATTTCCGTAAACATTTTCTTCCTAAAATAAAAAATAAAAGTCAATCTAATTATGACATTTTTAAATAATATACTTCAATCGTTTCAACTTCTCGATGATCCACAGGTAAATCAACTTTAGTATCGCGTGTCTCATCAATTTCACGTGCACGATCACGATGATTTAAACGACCTTTATAAATGCCACCATCATCTAATAAAAGATTATTTTTTTAAATGAATCGTTTTTTTCTCTTTTATTATATCTAACCTCGATCGAGATCTGTTTCTTTGGCTGGACCACGTCGAGGTTGATGCGGTTTGTTATTAAAAAAGTCATATTCTTCTCGAACAGGTCGTCGACTGAAAATATATATCAATGAAATCAAAAATAATAATCAAAAAAACAATTACCGTCCACCGTGCTCATAACTTCCATGAGAATCCGCTGTTGTTGCTGTATGTGTGTTTGTTCCATCCGATTTTGTATATCTATATTACAAAAAGGAGAATAGGAATTGAAAATTAATAATAGGAAAGCAGTATTAATAAAACATTCATGAAGAAGAAGAAGGAAAATATGTTAATAGAGAAAATCCAAGAAGATACAAAGTAAGATAGTTTATATTGCTTTTAGAATTTCGCGTTTCAGCATGCAATCATTTCATAATTAAAATAGATCATATTATCGATGGCAGTCGAATTTATAAATCTACGTGTAATTTAATAATACCTTTTTTGTATCGGAGGAACCTTGTCGGATGACGGTCGATTTTCATCGTAATCTTCTACTCTCTTTTGTCGCACAGGTAATTTTATTTGAATACGATCACTACAAAAATGTATGAGACGTATTTTTCTTACTGAAAATTACGTCATTTGTTAGAAATAAACAACTATATATGTATATACAACTCTAATACAACTACGATCATCAAACAGTTGTTTTAGTAGAAGAAGAAGTATTCTTCTATATTTTTGTTTTTCTATCGACACAAATGGCATGCTATTATTTTCTGTATTATTTGTACATCGTACTCTTCAGAAACTTACCCAGAAAATTGATGATGGGACCTAATCGAATGTGAAAGAAAAATAGAGTATGAGATAAATATATTTTATATATCTATATATATTGACTACTACTTGTATTTAATAATCATTTGGATTAAAAAGACAGATATATCGCTCTACTTACGATTTTCTTGACATTTTTGGTGATGAATTGGGACTGAAGGTTTTTGGATCAGGATATTCAATACGTTTAAAACGTTCTTTTCCTGCTGCAACATACATGCCGTTGTATTCAAGTTGTTGAGCTGATGTTATTAATTCTCCATTCATTGCATATAATCTAAAAAAGAATATATATTTTATATAATACGAAAACAAAAAATAATATATATTTATATATACTTGAATACAGCTGAATAATTAAGCGATACTTTTCTAGTAATTTCATCAAGAACTGATTCCCAGTTTTGTAATGTTGGTTTGACCAAAAGAATTTTTGAAGGTAATGTTAAAGGATCACCATTTCGATAGACACTAAAAATAAAAGAATAGTTAGATTTAATAAATAAATAAATATAACTTACTAAATAATAACATTTTCAGATCGAGATAATTTCAATGCTCGTCCTTCAATGTCATTACGTCGAACAGGTGGTAACTGAAATGAAAGAAAAGAAATGAGAAATTAAAAATTTAATCAAGCGATTTGAACAAAATTATATTCGGGAGAACAAATTTTGTTATTACATCTATTATATAATAAATACTCTGAATTTATTTTTCAATCTGTCGTTTTCTTATCTCTACTATTATGTTTGATGCTTTGTATAGATCAAAAGACAACGAAAGATTAACTAGACACTTGTCTGTAAATAAGAATCAATCGGATAATTATTTATAAGTATATTTAATGAAATAAAAGAAGTGAAGAGTATCATATATAATATTGAACAATATACTTACTCTAGGGGGTGTTCGATCTTTCACTTGAACTCGTTTACCGTCTGCAATGTCATGATATCTTTGAAAAAAAATTATACAATGAATTATACTAGAGGACAATTTATCAATATACTTACTGAAGTCTTTTAAATTTTTCACCTCCACCGGCAACATAAGTTCGATGATCTTCTAACTCAGATATATCATGTAATCGAGTACCATTTCTAGGTGTATAAATACATCTAACAGCACCAAAATTGGCCTTTAATGCTTGTGATGCATCATCTAAGAAAACTTCAAGCATTGGATATTTCCGTTGATTAATAACAAATGAACGTCCAGAAAAAAATGAATCTCCATTTCTCATTAATTTAATAGAGCGACCACGTTCAAGTCCAGTCAAACGTGGCTGTTGTTGCTGTTGTTGTTGTTCACGTGGGTCAGGTTGATCATATTGTCGTTGGTCACGATGATCGTGTTGTTGCTCACGTTGATCATGTTGTTGATAATCACGATGACCATGTTGTGGATTGTATTCTGTCATCATTCTGTATGAAGAATTTGATTATATAGATAGGTATATGGAATCGAAATAAACAGAGAAAGGTAGAGAGAGAGAGTGAGAAGGAAGGAGAAAAAGTAAATGACGATGAAACTATGATGATGTGAGGTAAGAAGCCCCAAAATAAAAGTTAAGACAAGAAATAAATTGTGGTCGTGATGTTGAATGTAAGAATATAGTTGTCGTCGTTATCGTCATCGCCAAGCATCAATCTAGAAGAAAAGAATGAACAAGAAGAAGAAGAAGAAGAAGAACAAAAAAAAGTTTCTGATATTAAAGAACAAGATGTTTTTGATAGGTTTCAATCATCCAACAAAGCTAACATTTCTATGATATCATTATTTCATATCAAATAAGAGCTAACATATTGTTTTTTAAAATTTTTTTCACACTTACTTCAAAAATTTAAGCGAGAAATAAATAAAAATTTCAACTCCATTTATTTACCTGTGTTTATTCGACTTATAGAATACAATAAAAAGGTTGCTAAAGCAATAGTTTTGTCAATAACAAAAGTGTCTACTTCTCCACTACTGATCAATAAGTGTATGGTATAATGAACAAACAAAACAGAGTCGTTCGAATATGCGTGTTAAACAAAATATTTTTCTACTTTTTTTTTCCTCTCTTTTTCTTTCTAAATCAAAATAGAACAAAATCCTATAGATTTATTTAATGATCTATCCTTTTTTTTCATAAAAAAAACAAGTACATTTCATTAAAAAAAAACATCAAATAATAAAATTATCGTCTCTCATATATTAGTGAAAACTTTAATATGTATTTAACCTGAAGAGATGCCTACTTACTTGAAAATCTAACCATTATAGACTCTACTTTGTAATCGATTTGTTTATATAGCAATTATACTTTATATTCTTGTCGTTCTCCCCTTTCTCTCTTCATTTATATGCTAAATCTGAAACTATGTTGGTCTTCTTTGATATACGTAAAGAAATGTCTCATTTTTGTTTGAACGACAATATATAGGCTCAGTTGCATAGCAACATTGTTATTGTGTGTTATACTGATAATTATTCATGCGAAAATGCAATGCTATTTATGCAGACGGCAAAGAGAACATCTCGAGTGTGCAATACTATAGAAGGTGTATGCTATGCTGTAGCGACAGACTGTTGTCAAGAAGAAGAAGAAGAAGAAGAAGAAGGGAAAGACAGAAAAAGAGAGAAGAGGAGAAGAAAGACGAGAAAATGATATGACGACAACAGCTATTTCATTGTTATTAGCTTGTATATTACTTTCTCTCTGGATTTTTTCTTAAAACAAAAAAAGAAAGAGATAAGATTTAACTTATATACAAAAGCCGAGAAAATAATCATTAAAGATAAGATATTGACGTCATATACGGATTATAAAATGTTCGAAATAATTTTTCAATTGATTCACATACATAAAAAAAGAATGTAATGATAGTAAAAGAAATATATATCATTGGAAAAAGAAAGAATACAGTAAAATTTTTATTAGAAAACCAGATGGAAAAATATTTTAAATATAAAGGAGTCTTTGTTTCTCAGAAAGCGAGAAGAACAATATCTTCAAGTGAGGAAAAGGAAAGAACGCACTCAACCTTGTAAATATGCTTATTCTTGGATGCATGATATTAATTTAACTTTTCCTGTTTTTTTCCTATTGTGAAGTGTTTTACCTACACATATTTATATCAATCCAATACTGATTAATTATATATATATATAAAGATAAATTTCATATAAGAGATAGAATTACCTTGAATGTTACAGATCATGTTTATCTAGTTATCTATTGTACACATGTACCTGACCTGAACTGCATGTATAAAGTGTGAGTAACGACTGACAAGATAATGAACGTACGAGATATATTTCAATTAAGTTCATAGGTCAGAATTCTGATAAGATCAATAGAAAAAAAACATTCTATTATATCAGTCACGCAAATATTGGAATAAATATAGAAATTAAGGACATTCTGTAAGAACTATGTATGTATATATAGGCAAAAGGTGGTGAAGATTTCTTTCTCTCTATTCTCCAACTTCTCTAGTCACGGCAAACTTCTGAACAACGAGCGCTAATAAGATTTTCACTTTTTTTCTTCTTCTTCTTCTTTTTTCCTTTTTCCAAACTCATAGCGTGTGTTTTTGTGCGTGTGAACGTGTGTATGCGTGTTTATTTGTCTTTTTGTTGATTTTTTAACTTTGAGACGATTATGAAAGAAGAAAAGAAAAGAAAAAGACTTTTATTCGTCCCTAACATAAATAAACTGTATGATTAACATTTGTGAGAAAAAAAAACGACTTGAAAATGCAAAATATTATTATAAAATTTTATATTCAAAAAGAACAATATAAAACTAACGAAATATACAATACAGAAAATAAATAATTCTATATTAATCTAATACTCGTGAAAGCTTTCTTTATTTCTAGTTTTATGTTAAACAGTCTAACAAAAATTGAGATCCGGTAATGATCAAGTTTTGTCATATTTACATGTACTATAATTTGTTAGGCTTCATAAACGATAGAAACTTCATTAATCTTAATTTATTTTTTATTTATTTTTTCACCTAAAATTGTACTTAACTTAATCATTTGAATATTTAGTTGATCAATGAACATACCTTATAAATTTTGATTCAATCTGTGTATTTATATGACGAGATACTCTTGTCATTATAATAGAGCAACCTTCCTACCTCTTTTAAATTGTATTACAACCATTTTCTTTCATCATTTTTTCGACAGTGAATAGCAAATCGAAAGAACAACATTCTTTACAAGCCTCTTTAAAAAACTTATGTCAACATCTATACTTGTGCTTTTTACGTTTGTTACCTCTCTGACAACCGTTGCTCTCTTTTTCTATGTTTTTTTCTTTGTCATCTTCGTTACTGAATAGAAGCCACTTGAAAAGACTGTCATTCAGCTCGAAAATAAACGTCATTAAGTATTTCTATATATATACAGTACATAATAATAATTTTTGAAAAAAGGCGATAACAAAACAAGGAATACATATAACGTCATATATGTTCCTAACGACAGATAAATCTTATCTGATATAAAATAAATTATTTTGTCCTAATCAATAATTCTTAGTTGCACTGAAATTGTTGTTAAATAGATGCAGCTAGACAATTACTTATCAAAAAGAAAAATTGCTGATAACGCAAGTCAAACAGATACAATAATAATCAATGTAGTCATATCTTTTTTCCTTTCTTTGTCTTTAGTCATGAAACAGAAAACAATAATTGTCTCAATACGCATAAAGAAGATTTATAGATCTTATTATTAAATTAAATCGAATTAGAATATTTATTTCGAAGTTTCTTTTACGATTTGATAACAATCAGAATATTGTGACAAAGGTAAAAATTGATTTTTTTTTAATAAAGAAAATGCAATGAGTTTTTGTTTTCTAACAAATTCATGACAATAACCTTTTTAATTAACAAATATGAAAATTTTAATTTTTACATTCCCTTCATCATCCAAATTAAAGGTTGTTTTTTAACTTATTAAATTATTTAGTAGACCATTCTACCATTCTTGGAATGTTTTTTTTTGTTAAGCGACTCCACTTACCAAATGTTCATCTTAGATACGCTTTTAAACATCATAGAAACTTAACAGATACACAACTGTTGATAGGAAATCATTTCGATGAAAAAATACTATATTTTCTTGATAAAAATATTTAATTCAATGAATTTCCTATTTCTTATACTCAAATGTATTATGTCGCGTTTTTTTGAGCCTTGAGATTTTCCGTCATAAATTGATTTTCTTTTTTTTCTATTCAAATAGAAATATATCGATATTACATAATATTATGTATTCATTATTTTTTTATAAAGAATAAATGGAAGAAGAAAAAAAAAGTAAACAACCTTTTAAAGAAACAAACTTCTCTCTCTCTGTCTTTGTCTCTTTCTATCAATTAAGCACCATTATTACATGTAGAAATATATACATGTCTCGAAGACAAAACTATAATGAACGATGAAGTTTACCAAGACAACATGATGAAAAGAAGAAGAAAAAAAAATCTAATTTTACATAAGTTTAAGATTACTGTTCGATAGTATTTATTGTTGAATAACCAAGATCATTAGCTAATTCTCCAATATGTGATGGACTAAGAGAAAAAAGATCATAGGTAAACATTTCATCTGATGTTTTTGTCATTGATAATGTTGATATATCAAATAATTGATGACGTTTAAAAAAACTAACAAATATGATAAGATCATTGATTGAATTTAATTGAAAACGTTTATAAATATAAATAAGTTTATATCGTAAATCATCATTAGTAAGACTACTTGGTAAATCTTCTTCATCATTATTATTATTATTATTATTATCATCTTGAGATACGTCACTATCATATGGATCTGATTGTTCTGAACATGATACTGGATTTGTTGGTATTTTATTTGATTCAACTGAAAGTTGTTCATGAACTATATGAAAATAGAAATAAAATAAGAGATTTGTTTTTTATGTCTAATATTTACATGAATTAGATTTGTCTGAGAATTGATTGTAAGTTTCACTATTTTGTCTATCGATATTCATTGGTGGTTGAACAGGATTATCTTCAGTTTGAAAGATATCAGTGGAAGGTGAATTTATATTTGGCAGTGGTGGAAATGTATCGATAGATGATAATGATGATGAAACTACAGAGCTAATAGAAGGTTCGTTATTAGATTGAGCAGGACTAGGTATAGATTTAGGAGAGTTTAATGTTTGACATTTTTGTTGATTGGATAATAATTTCGATGGTGATGGTAAAGGACGATTAAGTTGATCAGGTGGTTTACATAAATTTGAATTTTTGCGATCTATATTTAAAGAAAAAAAATACTTTTTCTAGATTTGTTTTTGCATTTACCTTTAATAATATTAGTTTTTCCGGATTGACTATTATTCGTAGATTTTTTAACAGATGATAAAGAACGATCTCGTTTTAAATTTGTTGGAGTTTTAGATGTTAATGATTCTTGTCCTTGTGAATTCTTTTTTAATGATGGTGAAGGCATTGATGAACGTGAACGTTTCTCTATAACTGATGATGGTAGAACTTTTTTCTTAGGAATTTTCTTAAGATTATTGATTGAAGCTGATGTAGTAGTTGTATTAGTTGGAGAAATACTAGATGTTGATGGTTGTGAAAGTGATTCTCGTTTTATCACGACTGTTGAAGGTGATTTAACTATAGTAGCTGATGTTTGTTCTGTTTTAATCGAAATTTTATGAGGATTCTTAATGATTGATTTTTTCGATGCATTCTGTGAACTTATGACCGTTTTGATTTTAGATGGAGAAGGAACAATTTCTTTCTTTTTTGTATTCATTGTTGTAGGTTGACTAGAAGATTTAATGTCATTCGTTGATTGAGATTTGATTAGTTTGGTAGTAGATGAACGTGGTTTAGTTGATGGTGAATCTAAATAAATAATAGGATATAAAAAAGAATATTTTTATATTTAAATAAATTGCCTATACTTTCAATTATTTCACTAACAGTTATTGGTTGATTTGATGAAGTTTTTATTATTTTTCCTTCTACTACAGTTGAAGATTTCGATGATATAAGTTTTGGTTTTTTAATATTCGGTGTTGTTGTTGTTGTTTTACTCGAATTTTCATTCTTCACTATTGATTGTACTTGTTTTTTCTTACTATTATTTATTGATTGTTCGACTTTAACTTTTTTATTAACCACATTTGGTGTAGGACTTGGTGAAAGAGGTCTTTTTTGTGGTGGAGAATGACGACCAATTGATTCATGAGATGACATTTGTTCGTCGTCCATTTCACTTTCATCACTATCAATATTATTTGATGTTATCGGACCACTATCGACGATTTTCTATGTATACAAAAAAAAAAAGAAAAATATGAATAAAATAATTTATGAATTTAAAACTTACAACTACAGTTAAACGGCATCTATTTCGATGTTCTTTCGTTTTATTATTCATTATGTTATGAAATACTCTCAGAAAAAATAATATTACAAAACGAAGAAAAAACCTGTAAGTTAAGGTTATTTTAAATCTATTTTCGTTTATGAGTCATTTTGCACAGCTGACCTACACGTTATTTTTTTTTCTTCTTCTTTTATTTGCTTATACTAAGAAAAAAAACTTAAAAGAGAGAAAAAAAGAAGTAATAATCATACATTGATGACGTTGATCATTACTTTTTTTTTACGTGGGAAAAAAACAAACCTTGATACGGTCATACGCCTCCATACTTTTATGTATTTTACATGTGACACGAAAAAAACAACATGCTAACTTACACCACCAGCTGCAAGTATCTTTTGACGAAATTCAGGATCGGGATTATAAATAGTAAAACGATATTTTCGTAGATAACTTTCTTTTTGTTGATATGGCCGTCCATCGATAGGTTTATGTAAATCAAGTTCATATTCAATACGAAATTTTTTTGGTTCTGTCTTTGTTTTGAAATATATTTCAATTGGCTAAAATAAAATCAGATTTTATTATTAAAATATAAAAATGAAAATTAATTAATACTAAATGAAAACCAGCATAACCACTTTCTTGAATAGCATATGGTGTTGTTTTTAATTCTAAAATATTATTTCAAATATTTATTTTGTTTTATAATAAATATATATTTCTACCTCGTTTACTATTTGGATATTCATGATGAAGATGAAATACACAACGTTGTATTAAACAACTTAAATCACCATTGACATCAGCTGAACGTAAAAATAGTTTCCAATCATGAGTACGTGGTGGATTATGTATAGTTGTAGCTTCACATCGAATTATTGAACTATGTCCAACTTCAAAATCAATTTCAATAGTCTGTATATAAAGAAATAGGAATTCTTCCTTTCCATAACAAAAAAAAAACAGACCTCACTAATGCCATTACGATCATTCATTTCGATTGTTTAACAATCTCGAAGCAAAATCTTTTACAATTTAACTTTCGCAATTGACGTCAGAAAACCTTTTAAACACTCAGTCATGTCTGTAATAAAAAAAAACTTTTCATATATGTTTATGGCAATGAATAAAAAGAAAAATAATAGGAGAACGAAAGAAAGAACAAAAAAAAGGAAAATTTCGAAGATTCAGATGATGTTATCTATATATATATATATCTGTACGTGAATTATGGATGACCAATAATATTCGTTTTTACTTGTTGATATTATTCTAATCGTTGTTCTAAATAATAGAAATGGTAAAATAAAACGACGTCCTATTCATTATTCATAGATTTTATTGTTATCTACTGACATCTTCTAATTTGTTTATATTCATTTATTTATGAATTATGTATAGAAAATGAATGAGTACAATAGATTGTGAAAGATATATTTGATCATGATATTTAATCCAAGCTTATTTTTATTGAAATAAACTATTGAAAAAGTAGCCGTACTGATACAAATACCATTCATGGTTGCTAATTAATAGGTAACTATCTAATCATACATTCTGAATAAGAACTAAATTTAGAAGAATTAAAGAGTAGACTTTTTCTACATATACGCAAATAATTACAAGATTTATTGTAATTATGTAGTAGAAATAGTTACTAGTTTTTAATCAAATGGCATTGCATATCCTTTTGTTTTACTGAAAATATTTATAAGGAGATTAGCACAATAGCTAAAATAAGCAAATTAGCATATGTCTAATTCATACTGTTTATGGCAATTGTTGGCAAAATAAATGTATAGTACTAAAAACAAGAAATCTTTAGAATATACAGTATTGTACTTTCTATTTTTTTGTTTTTCGATATTTATGATTTACTTATGGTCTTTGTTAGATATATTTGAACTATACTGTATGATCTACACATATTCTACTATAGTTACTGTTTCGACTGCTTTCTTTCAGTTAATTGCATCAATTGTGCACTGATTTCTATATCGTTTTCCAATGACGCAGAAGCTATAAAACTCGTTGATTTTATTTACTTTGCATTAGTGATAAAGAATTCAGTATAAAAAAAAACATGAATTAGTAGACGAAAATCGAAAAATGATCAAATACAACGATTATATATTATATAGAAAATCTTCTTCACGTAATATATGAACTATTGCCTCGTAGTACGTAGTTACTATATTACGTGAATAATATGCCCTATATTGACTTAATAGAAGGCAATGAAAAACGAAATATCAATCGATTTTAAGAATTATTCTATTTTTTATTTGAATAATGAATGAATGTTTTAAAAAAAGACATATATATTAATAAACGAAACTTAAACAAAAACATATTTTTATATTATATTTAATAGTAAGTTTTATTAATTGCAGTAAATTTAATAGTTATTCATGCTCTACTCATGTAAATACTTTTTTGACTGAAACATTTGTCGCATCTAGCCGGATCTTTTTTTCGTTTTATCGTTACATGAAAGGTATATTCAGTTTAAGTTAAGTATTCAAAACGCGAACGCATTTGAGTGACAACTTCCTAAAGTACATAACAAACACATAATATTATTGGTTTGGTTTTATGTGACATGTTCTTTATCTACAGAATACCTTTTTCGTTTTTCATAATATCTTACAAAATAATATATATGTTATTATCAAGCAGACAATACTATAGCATAAAAAGGATACTCTTTATTGTAATACGATTGTTTTTGTCACGTGGATCAGTGAAGTATAAACGTATATTTCCTTAATTGCATGGCTCATTGATTGTAAAGAGAATGTATAACTATATCTAATAGTACAGTTTTTGCACTTATCAGTCATGTTGACATATTTTTGCTCTTGAATTATATTTTGAATTTTTCAAATAAAAATCAGCACATACAAATCATCAATAAAATATTCAAACTAATGTTTATTCCAGAAGTTTGATAACTGTAATCGATAGTCAATTTGATTAAATCATTCATAATAGTCATGATCTATTCGGTGAAACAACAATTGGTTACTACAACAAAAACAATTGTAACAACAGTATAATATATCAGTTTCTTTTCGTATTCTGTTTTGTACTCATAACGACAATATAAAACAGATACGCAGACACTTTTTCTGAGTCAAAGTTTATTATCAGTTGGTAAGATTTAGTTTAAAATGAATATGACTCATCTTCGTTTTTGCTTTTTTTTTTGTCATTCTACCTGAAAGAAAAGACTCACTAAACAAAATATTTATTTATTTCACCTACAAAAAGAGACGGTAATACTATGTAATAACTACATAATACAAATGACAAGCCCCTACACACCTATGTTACTATCAACATGGAAAAAGAAAAAACAAAATCAAATTTGATTTCGATTAGATATCGAAATGATGCTCAACCATGGGATGATTTCGTGACAACTACGGATAGCTCGTCAACTGTAAACAATGATTATAAATGAAGAATATGAAAAATAAGAACATTGAATTAAATTAACAAAGACTATACTATAGACTTCCAAACAATATATTTATCTTTGTATTGAATCGTAAAATTAACTTTAAATAATCTTGTTATATTTATGTATATTTATATTGTGTTCTGCAGTACTTATGAATAACCATAAAGGCTGTGGTGTTAAATATTGTTTATGCTTTGTTAAAGCTTTACAGAAATGTAATCTAATATTATTCAGTAAAAAATTTCATATTTTCAATATGTCATTTAACATGTATAAATAAACTTGAGCTGAACAGAATCTATAAGAAATTATTTCATTTTTTTTGTCTATAAACTATTATTATAGAATATTTATAAATCTTTCTACAATAATAATGCATCGATTGACGTAAATAAGTCATAAATGAATAACTATAGTTTATTTGTTGATATTACAGTCATCCAATTGTTTCATATATATATAGCGTATATTTTTTTTTCCTTCTGTATTAGAATCATTGAAGTGTATTGTTGCTAAGATAATGCACAAGCAGAGAACGAATGGTATATCCTATAGGTTTACCCTACTTTGATCGAAAGTAAAAATGTCGTTATCTACCGCGTCCTTTTATCGACATTTTTACGTTCGATCAAAGTAGGGTAAACCATCTTTTTATAATCGGTAAGCAAATATAAAATACTTCAATATTTTGATCATTCTATTAACATATAGATATATGTATCAAAAATGAAAGACACAGATTTTGTTTTATTGTTGTGTAACCAATCAAGTTCTACATTTAAATTAACTTGATATATATATATATAATCAAAAAACAAACGAAAGACAATGCTAAAAAACAAACAGAAGTAAACTTGCATAGAACTAGCTATTAAAAACAGAAACGAACTTTATCTACTTCTATATAAATATCACATAATTTTAGATAAAATAAAATTCATACAAATAAACCTTGAGACCACTATATAATGTTTATGTTATTTTTTTATCTGTTCTTGAGAATCAGTTGATGATGTTGATAATGTATGAGAATTTAAATTAGCAAAAATTGAATGAAGTTGTTGCCATGTTTGTTCATTTAATTGACGAGCGAGTGAGCCTAAAAATAACTCCTGATCACTTGTAGTTGGTGGCGGTATAATAGAAGGAAAAGTAGATGTTAATAGTGGAATGTTAGATGACTTAATTCCTGTCTTTTTAATAACTTGTACTCCAGTATTATTAGTTGATGTTGTTGATTGTATATATTTTCGTTGTTTTGGTATTTCACTATCCCATCGAGTTTGTAAACCATAAACAGATAATTTCATTTGATGATCATTAAGAATTAATCGAACACAATGATTCTGTATATTAGCAACATCACGTGTTGCAGCTAATGCTATTTCATCAAAATCTTCAATTCCATCTTGATCAGCATCAAAACCAGCACGTGTGAACGGTAAACTTTGTGAACTAACGATTTTTTTCATTGTCCATGTTGGTATACTATTCATATTATTTGTTTCTGTACTATGTTTATTAGAATTTTTACTATTCACATCATCATCATCGTCATTATCTGATTCTTCTATCGGCTGTTTCATACGACGTTTTTCATAATTTTGTCGTCGACGGTATTTAACATAAAGAAGTAATATACGTCGATAAACGCGTCGAACATCACCAGCTAATAGAGATTCACCTAGTTTCGATATTTGATCAAAATAATGTGATATAAGACGTTTTAAAGATTTTAAAGTATCGACAAGTTGATCTAATTTAATTAAATTATGTGAAGCATCCGAATTCGAACTAAATTGCTTATTATTTATTGAACGGGAAGATCCTTGTGGAGAAAATCGAGTACGTGCTCGATTAGTTGACATAAACGGTTTTTGATTATATCGATTTGATGATATTGAATCTGAAGTATTACCACTCATAGTACCTAAAGATAAACAGTCTGGAAACAAAATTAAAATAAATTAAAATCATCTAAATAAATAAATGATTCTCAAAGAGTAATAATTCCAAAATAAAAGCATCAATCTAGTTCTATTTAGAATCAATCAATATTTATTCATTAAATTAGTGATGTTTACTTGATTAGCATAATATCACATCTTTTTTTTCTCTTCTTTTATCAATATCAAAATAACATAAAATATCGCTTTCAAAATAAAATAACAAAGAATACTGTTTGATTAGTTCACATCATAGAAATCTATTATTTCTATTTAGAATGATATAATGACAATATTGTTTCGTATTGAGTTTGTGTACTGTTGTATCTTAAATTGTTTGATAAATGAAAACAGTTGTAAACCGAGATCAATAAAAGCTTGTATCATATATTATAATCAATAATGATTCAACGTTGGTCATATCTTTAAAAAGAAATAAGCTGTTTTATTTCAATAAATAGCTACATATATGTAGCGAATCAATCAATCCAGCAAGATCTTGTTTAGATTTACAACAAGATTTCGATTCGATAGATTAAATATCTTCATAGCCATCATTAATAACATATACTATCGAGTTTTATTTTAGACAAAATAAATTTATCTAAAACAAGACCCAAATATACCAAAAACTGATCAATATTAACTTTGTTTTAAGTCCTTCGTCGTTGATAGTAAGAAATAAAATTACCAATAAGAATGTAAAACAAGCCTCTGATGTATGCAATATGCATAGTAGAGAAATGTCGCTGTCATACGTACAGCAGTTAATAACATATTCGTTTTAAGTTTTGTTGTAAACTTACAATTGGTGACATCAGCCTGTAGGAGAAGTTAATTTGATTTTTTGAGTAATAATTATACCATTAGTAATACAATGTTATTTACAAAAACTGTTTCTGGCATGTTTGACATAATATCTACGAGATTGTCACTGTAGATGGTTGTGGATGATATAGAATAGTCACACCCACACCCCACACCCACACTTAAAATAAGTTTAGTTTACTATTTCTAGTCAAAGACAGATACAATTTTATTTTAAAATGTTTGTTCTATAACAATACACTTGTTTAGTTAAAAAGTTCATTTATATACTTTGATTGAATAATCTTTATGTCATTGGTAAAATACTATTGTATCAAGATGAGTAGTTACCATGTTGATTATCATTTACTGCGACACATGTATTCTTTACTGATTTTGTTTATCCATAGACTAGTATGCCAGTCAGTATCATAGTGACAATATTCATACCACACATGCAAGAAAATTAGGGTCCTATATCCGTCGCATTTTGGAGAGGAACAGTAATAGTTACCATAATACCATCTTGAGGGTGTGAGTATACCTTAGTTTTCCCACCCACACCCACACCCTTAT